ATGCCCAGGCCAAAGTCTGATTTAAGAAAGAATCGTAGTATTCTAGATCCTCCCCCATAAAGTGATGCCTAATGACAGTTCCCGTGGGGATATGGAGCAAAGGAAAAGCGGTGGTCTTAGTCAGTATTATACCCCGGTGGTCTTATACCCCCACATACCCAGGCCAAAGCCTGATATTCGTTAAACTGTTTCCTTTGCTTTATAAAGAAAAACTGTAGGTCATCTGTATACATCATTTCTCAGTGTATTACTCATAAATAATTAGAATTCATCAATCAAATTCATCACGTATCTTTTACCTGCATGATCTAATTCGTACCTGTATCGAATGGAAGAGTAAGGCGATGGTCGGCGCTTGGCATGCACGAGAGGGTTGTAAAACAATGATCTAACACGTACGACCCGTCCTAGATCCGACAAGGACTAACTATTAGATCCGACACAATCATGTCACATTTCATACAATGGTCAAGTGACCAACTCCTCCTCTTATCCTCGTTTGCATGTCGTAGGTATTGCATGGTTATTGGATTTTTATGCCGTTATGCTATGTGATTTTCTTTGAGGAGGATAATTTGCATACGAGATCTTGGTGAGTTGTTAAGCGGATTTTGTACGAGAAAGACCCAAATGTAGCCCTGTTATAACTTCAGCTGGTAATTCGATTTTCAACATGGTATGAGTTAGGAAATGCAATACCGGTATACCGTATACCGAATTACCGGTAAACCGCCCGATTTTTTGGCGGTATTTTTACCGGTTTATTCCAAAAATACCGGTATTTTCGATATTTTTACATAAGCGATATTTGACACATAAAACCCCAAAAGTTCGAATTTCTCGGAACAAATTTATCTTTAAATTCCATAATCGTATAAACAGCTATATCTTCAAGTGATTCTATAAGATAAACAAATGTCAAATATTATCTCAACTCGTCATTAAATTGAATATTTATTGCTTTCCAAAGGGCTTCATATCGTGTTACAATAAATAGAATTGGACTGACAGATAATGATGTTTGTTTCATCTTTTGTAAAAATGTAACGGTTTTTTAAGTGATTTGCGCCAAAATATTTTATAGCATACAGATTACCCCTGCGTAATCTGACTTTTTTCGAACTTTATACATAATAATTATGATAATTACTAAATATTTTTTGCTTCTTTTTACAATTTAAAAAAACAAAACGTATTGTTTTATTTTATTGTTTAGTTGAATATAGTTGTAGTTGTATATACATTTTTTTATACTTGTACTAGTAACTTTCAATTTTATTTACGTTTGTTTAAGATAATAAAAATACCGGTAATTTACCGGTATTCTGGTTTTAAAATGAAAAATTACCGAAATACCGGTATTGAAATTTTCCATCGGTATTGCATTCCCTAGTATGAGTTGATCCATTAAGATTGAAATTTCAATATCCTTTAGTCTTCAAATTTAATTTTATGAATCTAACTCCACATTGTCAATACTTAACTATCACAACCTATGATCATAACGATAATATCCGTCATGTAGTAATAAGCATAATAGTTATATTATGCATTCCTCTCTAAGCAGAGGTGAAAGTTAATTTTCCTCACAGCAATTGTAGCAAATTTTCTCAATGAAAAATTACTTCCGCAAATTGGGTATAAGAATTCCAATTTGAATAATAGCTAAGGAAATAATGCAAGGGCAGAAATAATGATAGAATAGATGCTTGCAATATTTAAAGGATATTTGTATTCATTGCTTATTCTAGCAGTCACACCTTATTTTAAACGAAGAGTTCGAGGAAGACCATTGTTGTTTTTACCACAACATTAATTTTATGCGGGTACAATACAAACATCGTTGTATATGTTGACCAGTTTTTAGAACAACAATCGGCAAAACATGTTCAAGTAATTACTTGGTAGCCCAGTGACACAATTATGGCAATTGAATTAAATCGAAAGCAATACCAGCATATTTTTAGAAGTCAGGAGAAAACAATACCGTGCATTTCACGGTTAATAAAGGACATAATAATTTATTTTTATATTCATTATTAATTTGCATTTAGTCATTGCACGAAAAATAAATATAGGAATTTTTCCTGGAAGCAAGTTGCCAAAAATTCTCGTTATGTTTAAATAATAAGCCTAATCAATAGCAATTAAAATTTAGCAACTCTGTCCATAATTCTAAACTTTGATAAATTTTTATTGATTTTATGATATATTAGGATGTTCATTGATACTAGGATACTACTTTGTCATCATACATAGTCTCATGAAAATCGTCATTTTTTTTTTAAAGAAACGACTCGACTGATCGTTTCGTAAAATTAACCGCAACGTGTACTATATCTTTCATCGGCGAAATCAAATTGCCAAAATTTAATTCTTATACAATTTTCTAAGAAATGCAAATCTGATTACATTTGCAATTTTAGCCAAAACAGAGCGAAATGCGTTTTTTAAGTTTAACATAAATATTATATTAGTATACCTATCTGATATATCTAAAATGAATGTTTTATCATTTTTATGTATTTTTTATTGATTTAATAGCATTCTGCGACGATTTATTACGCATAAATTTAAATAAAAGCATCTCTGAATCATTCATCATTCATTATCATTTTTCAATTTGAACAAAAAGTATATGGGAATGACTTAGCTTTACCGTTGCCCAAGTTTAATTATTCATTAGATTATAATTTATTGTTTAATTTTTGCAAATTAGCACTTTCACTTCTCTGTAAAACTCTCTCTGTTAAACGAAAAACAAATGTATTCTAAAAGGCCATTTTTCTCTTTAAACGATAAATTGCAGATTTCTTACAATTTTGTAATTGAAACTTATTGAAACATTTCTATTTTGTAATAAAGAATAATCGAATTTAAAAAATATTAATATAGTAATAAATATATAATTTTACCAGGTATGAATAATTACTGATTAATTAGGTACATTTGTCCAGTAGCAGCGCCATACCAAATTTTATTAATAGTAATATTAATTGATTCATGATATTAAAATTTATTGTTGATATTAATAGTGAAATTTAATTTATTATGTTGAGTCAAAACTTGTATAAGAAAATAATCACAAATTTAAATTTTTGTTCCAAACCGCAGTAATCACATTCATTACTAAAGTCATCAGTGTCGTGAAGTATATAAATACTATAAAATAATATTAATAAAAAAAATACTATCTATATAACAATAACATAAATTCAACTCTGGTATCATTATAAAACGTTTTATTTTTAACTCAGGGTTGAGCAATAGGTCATTAGTGAAATTGGCCGACGCCAACAAGTTACTTTTGAATAGAATGTTTTCTATTTCTATTTCACGTATATCCAATGCATTTATGTACAGGTTAGTACTTTTCTCAGATAAAAAAATATGATGGTACTTTTGACATAAATTATAAATAAATTGATAGCGTGGGTTAGCACAAACTTAGTCCCTAAACATGGGGTATCAAGCGGTATAATACCAAATTTCCACTTGAGGTTAAAGATCTCAAAAATGATTTTAAGTAAAAATTACTTTTAGTGGGCATTGCTGCAGCCAACGTCAACGCATACGCCAAAACCATTAGATATGAATACTTAATATAGATACTCTACCCATAACAAAAAAAAAGTGGTTGACCGCTGGGTTGCACTCTCGTGAAAACTACTAGATTATAGGACCCCAGCCCACAGAACTCGTAGTTTTACGTAAAATCAAAAAAATTCCCACTAAATTAGTGTCTTTATATTATAATTATACAGCAAAAATTCGGCTCTGTTAATTAATCGTATATCAGTTAACTTTTCGTACTTTGTAATTAGAAATAAGTATGCCCACGGGGCTCAAGTATGAATGGTGCAGTCTCATTGTCGGGCTCATATTGTTGACAAATGGGATCCCATGTCATTAATTTGTCGTGTGACGATTCGCACATTAGTTCGTTAAAAGTGAACTAGCTTTCATTTTTCTTCATTCATGTCTTATAATGATTAACGCACTCTATTTTGCATATTATTGCTGAAGATTACTCATAATAATAGTCATAATACTGCCAATAGAAGAGATGGGATAGAGAATTCTGGAAGCGTTATATAAAGCGTTTATTATTTATATTGTTTTAATCTTTTGTCTAATTTTAAAAAAAGCAATGTTTTTCCAAAATGCATCAAGGCCTTTTCGCATTTGAATCATACATATTGAAATCAATTACTTCTGCAATCACAGTAGTTCAAATAATTTGAAGAGAAAAACTGGTTCCAAAACCGCAACATGTATTCCTTATTACTAAGAAACAGATGATTCAATAACGACATTGACGCTTCTGAAGAAAACAAAATAAATCCAAAAGTGTATTTCATAATTCTCGACTTATTAAATAGACTAGAGCAAATATCGTTCGTTTATTTTGCGAAGGTTTTCCATTTGTCAAGGTTGATTGACCGTCAAACGTAGTTAGATCAATTTAGAAGAATTGCGAATTTTACTTTGTTACAGAAATTGTATTTATGTTTGAATAACAAACTATTACTTAAGTTGTTTTGAGTCGTCTAATTAGATATACAGTTATCTTATTAAGTATATTTGTTTTCATGGAAAGAAATCTCTGTGATTGCCAACCAGATTTCTTCATAATAATGTTTAGAAGATATAGATATTAAAAGATGATCATTGTTTACTTAATTTGCAAATCGTAATTCAAAATTATTATTTTTTTACTAATTTTAGAAAATTTTGTTAAAATCTAAGGAATAAGGAACTAGGTTATTTTAACCAAAAGTAAGAAGCTAAAAGGTCGAAACAGAAACAAATCCAAATTTTAATACCATGAGTGGAACTGTTCTATTAATAAAATGTTATAGATATACTAAAATTTTCTGAAGTATTCATGATAGCATTAAACTATATGCTTAAGAAAAAGTTATAAACAATGCATAAATAAAAATCGTTGAAATTACTAATAGAACTCTCAAAAACTGCCATTTTTTTAAACATTTAGCTCTGTATCTTCGAAATGGCTGGGACTAGCTTTGCCAAAAACTAATAACCATTTCTCCCAATCATTACTAATTGAATGTTTTTCAGATAATTCAAATCGGATACTTCGTTTTCTCAAAAACTCGATTTATATTATCTGCACTCTTTGCTCTCTATCTCCGTAACTGCTGGACCTGCCTCTGCCAAAGACTAATCAGCACATCTCTCTATCAATAGAAATCGAATGTTTTTGAACCATTCAAATCGGTTAATCCGTGCGCCCGAAAACGTGACTGGAAATTGTATCCATACATACATACACACACACACACATCCATTTTTTCTGAGGTATGCAATAACTTACCCTACGGGAAGTTAATTATTTTACTAAAAACGCGTTGAATAAAAATAAGTAGCAAAATTAAACATACTAAATATTGAAAACATAGGTGAATTAAAATCTTCGTTATATATATTAAAAATTAAAATCTTAAAAGCTATATAATAAATGTTGAAACTACTACAATCGCAACAAATTGTAAAATTGTAAAAAAAAAACAGAACAAAACAAATTATATTACAAATAATTACCAAAATTTTTTTTTGGTGTAGTGTTTGAAACAACTAGTGTTCCATTAATTCACCCCTTAAATCTTTTTTTCCTAATTAATAAATTTGTGGTATCATTTCATTTCAGACTATTCGTTCCTATTGAAATCGTACTTCATAAATAACTAAAGCAATAAACAACTCAAAATCTCTATTTCTTCTTTCATAGTGTTAACCAACAAACAAAACAAACCTTATCTAAGAGCACAATTAAAATAAAGCATATAGAAATTCTTCATCATTGAAAAAATGTCGAAAAACACATTAGCGTACGCATCTTTCATTGAGGCCTCTCCTGTCCCCACTGGCCGAAGAAGACCCGGGTCTAACAATCGGCCCCCCTCTTCGGAAGAAGAGCCTCGCGGGGCATATGACACTTGTTTATTCTTCAGGCGCTGTAGACACGCGCGGCACAAGGTCACGCATAGGTACTGCACCCACCTGAATCTCTATATAAACGGGCCTGGGTCGTTTTTTTGTCAGTTTACACCCGGACAATAACTGAGAAGGTACGTACTGATAAAGGACATTGTACGAGGAAATTGATTCAGTGGACAGAAATTTGTTTTGTGTGATTTTAAGTGATAATAATAGTTAGTTAGAGACGTGGAATTCGATGAAAATTAACGTAATGAGTGGACTTGATTTATTTTCAATAAACGGATTTTTTGTCATGTTTTCAATCTTGGAAAATCATCATAATTTAATTCAAAATTGGTTCGGTTTATAGAATTCCAGCAAGAACAGTCATCATAGTTGTAGAATAAATTCAATACATACTTTTATTGTTCAAATTTTGGGAACACGTCATGATTTAATTTAAAATCAGTATACACGACATAGTAACCAAGTTATTTTGATTAAATATCTCAATATTAATAATATTAAATTTTGAGACAGTTGCTATTTTGGTATACTTTTAGTAGTAGTAGTAGTAGAGCAATTTCAATACAAACGTTTTGGATTCATATTTTGGAAACTTTTACGAAACGAAACTTTATATATTGGCGTTATTTATGACTTGATTTATTTTCAATAAACGGATTTTTTTGTCATATTTTGGTCTGGTATTTCATAGCATTTTTTCAATCTTGGAAACTCATCATAATTTAATTCAAAATTGGTTCGGTTTATAGAATTCCAGCAAGAACAGTCATCATAGTTGTGAAAAAAATTCAATACATACGTTTATTGTTCAAATTTTGGAAACTCGTCATAATTTAATTCAAAATCAGTATACACGACATAGTAACCAAGTTATTTTGATTAAATATCTCAATATTAATAATATTAAATTTTGAGACAATTGATATTTTGGCGAACATTCAGTAGTAGTAGTAGTAGAGCAATTTCAATACAAACGTTTTGGGTTAAAATTTTGGAAACTTTTGGACATAGTGACCAAGTTATTTTATTTAAATATTTCAATATCAATAATATTAATTTTTGAGACCGTTGCTATTTTGCCCTACATTTTTATGTTTATATGCGAGTGTTTAATGACATCATGTAAAGTTTTATATCTAATTATTATTAATTTTTTATTACCTTGTAGGGAAACTGGTCGCCATGAAATTCGCAGTAGCAATATTGGGCCTAGCCCTGTGTGGTTTGGCATCAGCCCAATTCCAGAATGGACGCATTTTAGAACCACCAGTACCTGCACTCTGCGCCCAAAGGACGATACACGAACGTAGCCCAGACGGTATGTAAAGAAAATATAAAAAAACCATCATTAACCATCAAGTTAAAATTATATTAAGCAATTTACTAATTTAAAATTTAATGTTTTCCTTATATTCGATAATAGACAATAATAAATATTTATTTAAAAAATTCAGGGTTAAAAAAGAAAACGTTGATTATAATCACAAAATTTTGTAAAGTATTAAACTAAAAAATAACTGAACTATGAAAGAATTTCTATATATTAAACAATTGATTTTTTACCTATTTTTTCAGGCAAAGGATACTTCTTCTCATGGCGTGACCCACAATTGGCTGGTGTTGAAGAAGATTGGTTGGGCGTCCGCAACTTCTGCCGCCAACGTTGCATGGACAGTGTCAGTTTGGAAACCAGTGCCGAAAATGAATGGATCAAACAAAGAATTGTCAATGGAAATGTAAGATACATAAAACTAAAAATATAATAACTTTAAAACATTGAATATAATTTGCTGGAAGAACAAATAGTTCTTGAGAACCTATAGTACACCAGAATATTTGATCCGATTTCAAATGAGTAGTAATAGTTACTTCAAATTTAAATATACAGTTTTGCTTTCCAATAATTTAAGGGAATTCTTGATGTTATCTTAATATAAAATAATTTCTTAAAAGCTCTTCAATATGCAATAATCTTTAAATATTTTATGGCAGGTACTTACCTTTTGTAGTATAATTTCATAAATTTTCTCTTCATGTAATCGTTTCTACAAAATAATTTTCGATTATTAGGTGAAATACATCTGGACCAGCGGTCGTCTATGTGACTTCAAGGGCTGTGACAGACCAGATTTACAACCTGTTTCCGTAAATGGATGGTTCTGGACCGCCGAATTGCAAAAACTTGCCCCAACCACAGACAGACAACAAAACGACTGGTCTGAAGGAGGTGGTATTGGCCTTCCCCAACCAGATAACAGAGTAAGTAGAAAAATATTAATTAATAATTAATTATTATACAGCAACAAACCTATTTTTAATAACTTCATCAGTCACTACATGATGTCGAATGTACACACTTTTTACACTAACGTTTCAGTTTTGGGATATTTTGATATTGTCACGAAAATTTGAAGTTATAAATTATTCAATTTAAACTGTAAAGTAAAACTATTGTGAGTGTTAAAAATATACATAGTGTAAGTACAAATTTTATTAAAAAAAACAAAAATTATTGTAAAGAATTTACTGAGATTAAGACCAACTAAGAGTAATTTCTTAAATGACTCTAGATGGTTGGATCGTCATTGAATGTCCTAAGAATGTCTATATTTCTAGTAGAATCAGTGGTGTTTCTTGGAAAGTTTAATTTGTTTATCTATTATTACATATTTCCTTTCCCCCCAGGAATTAAAACAAGGTGGAGCAACCGAAAACTGTTTGGCAGTTTTGAACAACTTCTACAATGATGGAGTACATTGGCACGATGTCGCCTGCCACCACCGCAAGCCCTTCGTCTGCGAAGAAAACGATGCCCTCCTGAAATACGTCCGTTACACCAACCCCAATCTGAGGGTCTAACCAAGGCAAATTGGTCGCCTCCAATTAGATTTACAAATCGGACCAAATTTTAATTTAGATAATATATTTTTTATTAACGATGACAAGTTACATCCTAACTGTCGTCGAATCCAATTCCGAACTGATTTAAGTTATATAGATTAGTAATATATTTTAATGTATATTATTTTATTATATTTTATATGATTGTTGAGAGATGTTATGTACACTGCCCGTATAGATGTGGACCTCAGGAATATGCTTAAATTGATAAGAAAATTATTCTGTAAGTTTTATAAAAATAAATAATTATTTACATACAAAATTCACATCTTTGTAAAAAAGAAAGAAACGAACATTTAATTTCAGCAAAAATAAATATGCTATGAACTTCAACAATTGTGAGTAATAAGTGAGAAACAAGTTCAATTTGCAATTAATCATTTCTGAAAAAATATCCATATCTAACAACATATATATTTGTTGTTAAAATAACCAAAATTATAAGAAGTATTAGTAAAAATTCAATATCTGTCTTAAAGTGTTCAAATCACATACATTTTAAACATTTCTATATGAATTTTAATATTATGCTAGAAATACACGAAAATATAAAATCATTTAATAATATATCACTGATTCAAAATTATTAAGATATTTTATTTATATTCTGATATAACTTATACAATAAGAAAGTTTAATTAAATAATGTGAAAGCAAATATCTAAAAGTTATAGAGAGATGAAATGATGCTGTAAAAATTCGATAACTTTATATAATTAAATGATGATGATAAAGTTGATTTACTATAAAAATGGTGACTAATTACTTTCTCCGAATGCACATGAGAATTCTCTTAGAAATTTCTAAACTTCTACAAATTATGATCAGTGAAATGAAAATTATGATAGGAATGAAAAACACTATACTATATACATAAATATTGAAAAACGTCTATTTGTTAGCGTGTATAATAAAAAATGAATTATAATATATTCCTATTCAAAATGTTAGTGCACATTGATATACATTATATTTAAATATTTGACAATATTCACAATATTTAACCATTATAATAATTTTAAATATTCTATATTATGTGCTACTCACGTCTAAAAAATACGATGCTCTTAAATGTATTTAAGACTTTTCGCCTACTGGTTTAATTATAAGTTCGTGCACCTAAAACAATTTTTAATTATTATAGTAATTAGTTTAAATATATAATTTACAAAAATTTTAATAAGCAAGCAATAACTCGTATTTTATATATTGATTTCTTAGAAGTTTATATATTGATCAGAGAAGTATATGCTGATCTCATAAACGTTAAGGCTAAACTGCTAAAATATATCAAAAGTTCAGAAAAATTTGAAGAGTTTTAAAATTTTTCTTATACCTTTATTTTGACAAATTTATTTATTTTACTTTATTACCTGAACATGTTCTGGTGTACCCAAAACAAAAAGAATACTTTGAGAAATGTCTTCTGGCTGCAAAGTCGGATGATGTTGTTTTATTTGATCCGACTGTTCTTGGCCAAATGGTTCTTCTAAAAATTCTGTTGCCACATGACCGGGACTTATGCTCTAAGAAATAACAATTATAATTTTAAACTGTATTAGACATTAAATTCATTTTATACTCACAGTAATTTTAGTTTTACTCTTAAGATAGTTCATTTCTTGTCTTAAAGTTTCTGTTAACGCAGTAACGCAATGTTTTGAGCCTGGGTATATGTTGAATACTGGTGGAAAATCGCCCAAGTAAGGAACATGATGTCCTGTTAGGCTGAAAATTAATGTTAATGTTAAAAAAAATATACCTAATAGATAAAACTACAATTAAGTTATGTAAAAAAAAACTATGCTGAGAAGCCACGTAGAGAAATATCATCAGAACAGTTTATAAAATAATAAATGTTATAATACAGCAACAATAACTGCATTAGTATCAAAATAAAATTATTTTGCATTTATCCTTAATTTTTAAAATATCTCAATAATGTTTCTAATTTACATTCATATTATTTTTGAATAATTGTACCCACGATAAGCGATTGTAAAAATAAACGACTATTGATTTCCAAGTCTTGACATTATTTTAAAAAGCATATATTATAATGTTATGCTAATTTGAAGCTAATAGCAAAATTCTACTAGATACATTTATAATTAGATAATAATTTTAGTTATCTGTTAAAAACAGAACGTTTAAATTTGTTTTGTAAAATTAGAAATATAAAAATAAAAATCTTCTAATAATATTACCTGTTTATATGAATAATATGACCAGCAACATCACGTTCTTTCATAGAATTAAATGCTTCCCTGGTGCATATGCAAAGAGCCATCACATTTATATCCAAAACAGTACGCAAATCATTGCCATTATCTGGCGTTGTTAACATTGTCATCCTAAAACATATTAATTAATTAACAAATATAGTAATAAATTTAAATAAAAGATATATCAATCAAATCTAGCAAGTCACAAATAATCTATCCAATTGGTAAAATAGCAGCATATGTTTCAATAGTATAGATCAACTAGCTGTAAGTGAAATTCTGTCTTAAGGCAATTAAGGCATCGTGCCTTAAGGCAAATTGCTGGAACTTCCCGTACCAAAATTTTTTTTTTAAAAACGATTAAGATTTTTGAAAAAAATTTACTTTGAAAAAATAAGATTTTTGAGAAACTATATATTGGACAAAAAATTACTTTTTTTTGAAAAAAAAAAAAATTTTTTTATTTTTTTTTTTTTTAAAAAAAATGTTTTATTTTATTTTGACATATTTTGGAAGATCTAAACTTTTTTTCAGAGCAATCGTACTGCTTTAACTGCATAAAGACGAAATATCAAAGCCCGTAAGCGCCGCGTCGCCGTCTAACGCGTAACATTGGTACGGAACCCATAGAAATGTAAAAAAAATTTATACTTATTGTTAAAATCTCTATAAAATATTTGATAATTTGATGGCATATGTCTAATGATCATTTTGACCGCCAAATGGCATTTTTTTTTACTTTTTTTCATCAGATCTCCGAAACCGTTAGACCTGCCTTCATGAAATTTGATCAATTCTTTATCTTGTCAATACAAGTAAAATGTTTTTTGAAATATTCAAATCGGACGCTCCGTTCTCTTAAAAACTGAGTTACCGTTTTCGGCACTTTTTGCCCCGTATCTTTGGAACGGCTAGACCTGCTTTCGCCAAAACTAATCAGCACGTCTCCTTATTAATACGAATCGAATGTTTTTTGAATTATTCAAATCGGTTGATCCGTGTTCCCGAAATCGTCGACGAAAATTTGTATCCGCACATACATACACACACGCACATACATACATACATACATACATACATACATACATACATACATACACACACACACACACACACACACACATACATCCATTTTTTCTAAGGTATGCCAAAATGTTCAGAAACCTCTGAAACGTAAAGATATATAAACATTTTCATTTTCGATTTTTTTGCGATTACTATAACTTGCCCTACGGGAAGTTAATTAATAATAAGCATTACTGATTTGCTAATTTTCTAACTGCATTCAATTATGCATGATGAATAATTTTGAGAATAAATTGCAAGTCATTGTTATGATGCTAAAATAACTGTTTAACACCATGACAATTCAATAATATCATAACCGTGTTTATTAACTTCATCACAATGTATAGTATCAAGGTTGTCATCACGTTATGATAATGTTATTGAAATAATATTAATCAAACATAATTTTATAATTAATAATTATAAAAGATCCAAATCCACACTTTCATCTTTGTTATTAAAATTATAAAACACTATTAATCCGAATCGAAAATTTGAATGAATGATTTTTAGAAGTCTTTTCACATTTTTGAGTCCACTATTAACTATTAGTCCTCTATTATCTAATGACTATGACTACTTATTAGCTAATTTTCGAATTAGATTGTTATTAAAAATGAATAATAAATACTTCATCATTCCTGCGTTGTTTATCATCACATCAACTCCTCCAAGATTTTCATTGATCCACGAGAATACATCCATGATTTCACTTTCTTTGGCTAAATCACACTTCTTAGGATAGAACTTTCCACCCTTGCTCGTGTCCATTTTTGCAGCATTTTCCTAAAGATATTTAGGATGGATTTGGGATTAAGTGTGTAATAAATTATAGATTTATATATTTATAAATAAGAGATAAATTATAATTACCTCCATGCGTTCTAAGCGTCTTGCTAATCCTACAACTTTCAATCCTGCCTCGACAAGATCTTTCGAAACTGCTGCTCCAATTCCGGCACTTGCTCCGGTAACAACCGCTACTTTTCCAATCCATCGATCCATTTTCTAAAAATATTTATTCAATATATTTTTTATTTCCTATTACAAACTTTTATTATTTAAATAATTGTTTATCAGAACAGAAGAGTCCTATGAACTGTTAACAATGTGGCTTTTTTTTAGAAGTCAAGCCAACAGATGGTTTATATCTATTTTCTATAAGTAGAATTATCTAATAGAGATGATAATACACAAAATATGAAATTGAAATTAAATAATTATTTATTGTTCTTATCGGTCAATGTTATCAAGAAATGTAACAATGCTTCATTATATACTAAGCATTTAGAACAAATAGTGTTTATAGTATTTTGTTCATACGATATTATGTAAAAAAATCCTATGATTAAAATATGCCAATGATTTTAGTTGTTGTATTTAGTTTGCTATTATTCCGAAAAATTATGTCATTCTCTATATCTTATATATTGTCATTCAAATTCAAAAATGTATATTCTTTTTGAATACTCTTCATTAAAATACTGTATTTTTTTTGAATAATAATAAACTTTACACAAAAGCTCCAAAAATTAGCAAATATCTTCGTGGCAACAGAATTTGTTTATTGTCCTTTTATCCTTTCATATAATTGATTTATTATAGCGTATTTTATAAAAAATATATTGCACTTATTCAAAAAGTATACATATTTTATACAATTTTATAAATGTGTATATAAATTTATGTTTATATTCAAAATATTATACTAGTAGTTAGGTTATGCATTATTGAAACTATATTACAAAACTTATTCTACATAGCTGTTTGACAATTATAAACGAATAAATAAACAATATTTGCTGATTTTATTATTAATTAAATCCTAAATTATTTTTTTCCTTCTATTCTATGTTTTTTCACTCTTTTAATGTAACAATAGCCCATAAGATTCCAATGTATTTGATTACTATTCTTAAGAAAATAAAAAAAAATGTTGTAAATCACCTGTACCACAATGTTCTAAAAATATTTTTGCTGTGTTTACTGGAATTTGAAAACCTAAATAACTCTATATAATGTTTGAAATATCAATATGCAAATTATTAGTTGTTTGGATTTAGCAATCACGTTCTAACGCGCAATATTCTGTACCCAGATATCTATGAACATATGATACTAAATTGTTAAAAACACGACAAAAATAGAGATAAATTTTTGTTTCATGATTGGAATAAGTAACAAAAACTAATATTATTGTTAATATATTGAAAATATTACGTGTTAGAAATATGATTTCATGAAAAAATGTAATAGTATACGAAAAATAAATGAATAAATTTTGCAAACAAAAATGGCAAATAATGAATTTCAATACCAATATGATTTTATACATCTAAAATAAAAGAATATTACCAGTTTATAAATTATTATCCATGTTATTTCGTGTCACAAATCATGTTAAAATATTTAATAGCTGTTGTTATTTAAATGACAATTATCATGAACATCTAGGATTATTGCATGCAAAAATATCTTGTATATAAATCGCTTACCGATGTCCAATTTCGTTCTTCGATAATATCAGAACTGACCTGACTTGTTTTCAGAGGATGAATACAATTGCTAATGGGACAACAGCAATTTATAAACATTCTCGAACAAATGCATTCGCGCTATTCGTGCGCACTATGATGTTTTTTCTAGGACTGCAATTAAAAAAATTATTCAACAAAGATAGCAAATACTATAACAGTTGTATTATTGACTTATTTACGAAACACCGATAACGGCTTATAAATATTAATATTTTAATTTTTATTTTTTTTCTTCATAAAGTTTGCTATAATTTGAAGATATGGTAGTAGTCTCATATTTTTATACAAATATCTTGATAGCTATTGGGATTAATAAGATATAGTGGTATAGTATTTTTGAAACAGTGTAATTTGAATCAAGTATTAATTTAGAAACACTTATCAATATGTTAATATATAATTTCCCATTGTTACCTTTTTAATTAATAAATTGTAATATACATCCAAGTCCACTAGTTCTGCAACCCTCGTCTACTAATTGCAACTTCTTTCTAGTATATAAAGTGAATTTTACCAAAAATATTTTATTCGATTTTTTTATAGGAAATATCTAACCGATAGGTCAAAACTGAATACAAAAATCATGCTATTGTACATTTGTATAATTTAAAATCAATACGCCTCCTCCACATTTGAAATTATCAGTTATATCTACATTATATCCATATCTAAAATCTATATGAATTGACAAGCTATTAAAATATAAAATAGAAGTAATAATAGCTATAAATATGAATTTAATAGCATTCAAATCGATTTGATATAAAGTACCTAATCCACCTAATAAGTACTTAATAATATTAAGTACAATCAATGGTCCTTTTCAATTTTGTTAATTTTTTTTGTTCAGTACTCTCTAAAAATAATTTTGCTATGATTAGGTTAGATAAACTAAGAATTCTTAATTATTTTTTACTAAGTTTTTACTAAAATTTATGAAAAGTAAACATTGAGTTAATCTGTAATAGTACAAAAATAGAAGACTATATTTGTAATTGATGGGTGATTTTAATTTACAGTATAATTTTATATACAAATTTTTATTTTAAAATACTTATATTTTGTTCGAATATATTGTAACTATATATAATATATATATATATATATATATATATATATATATAATATATATATATATATATTATATATATATATATATATATATATATATATATGATAATATAATTTTACATAGTATTCAACAATCACATCACAATTTTTCTCCAATGGGTTTGATAATAAGTTCATGAACCTAAAAATAGTTAAAATAGCTATATTATTTATACTAAACGTTTATGTTTAAAAATTTATTCGATTTATAATTTATTACTAAATATTGTACTGCTTTAAATGAATGATTAATAAACAAAAAGTTAAAAAAATATTATGCAATATTTTTTATATTGAATTGAATGTAGCAGATTTTTATAAAATGCGAAATAATAACCAGTAATAAAACTTGTTGTTAATTACACTGACCTGCACATGTTCTGGTGTTCCCAGTGCATATAAAACAGCTTGAGAAACATCTTCAGATTTCAAGCTCGGATTGTTAGCAAGAAACATTTCTTTAATCTCCTTGGATGGAAAAGAACCATCAAAGATCTCTGTGTCGACTACTCCTGGGCTTATACTCTAGGAAAAAAAAATAGAAATAAATATTTTTCTCAATAAAACTAAATTGTGGCTTAATTTACCGTGACTTTGGTTCTGCTTTTCAAATAAATCATTTCTTGTCTGAGTGTTTCGGTTAAAGCAGTGACACAATGTTTGGATCCGAAATACATATTGGCTGTTGGTGGTGCATCGCCTGCTGATGGGATGGAATGACCACCAATGCTAAAAGTTTGGAAAATTATGGAAAAGATAATATATAGGGCATAAAAAGTTAAAGGTTTCAGTAGGGTATTACTACCTGTTAATGTGTATGATATGTCCAGCAACATCTCGTTCTTTCATGGAATTAAAAGCTTCTCTGGTGCAATAACACAAAGCCATCACATTTACATCAATCACAGAACGGAGATCATTAGAATTTCCAGGATTTACTAGCATATTAGCTCTATGAAAAATGACAATGAAAAAACTACAGTTTTTCATTATGTTTTAATATAAACACATTTTTAATTCTTCTTTATAATGTATATTATTTGAAGAAGTAATTTGTTGCATACACTACTACACTAGTAAAAATTATCATACAAATAAAAAAAATAATTTATATATAAATAATAATAAACATGTACTATCAGTTAAAGATATGAACGTATGATAGAATATAATAGTTCTAAAATATAAAAACAAAAAAATATCCAATTTTAGTATCTGTAGCTCCAAAACTAATAGCAAAATTTTTAATATTTTCAAATGCTAAGGTAGTATTTCCATTCAAAATTCCGAAAAAATTTAGAAAATAGATATTTATTTTATATATTTTACCTGACGATTCCAGCATTATTAACCAAAACATCAACACCTCCAAAGGTTTTCTTAACCCAAGCAAAAGCTTCTAGAATTTCTTCTTCTTTAGAGACATCACATTTTCTTGGGTAGTAATGCCCGCCCTTGCTAGTGTTCATTTTTGCAGCATCTTGCTATTGAAATGACAATCAAAATAGTATTAATAAACAAGTAAAATAAAAAAATAAATAAAATGAAAATTGATATTTTATGATTTTTGCCAGGGTTCACACACACTATTAGACTCAGAACAAAATTTATAGAATTAACCCTATAGTTTTATTATTAAATTTTATAATTTTGTAATGCAATATATTTGTATTATCTTTTAAATAGATATGATATAATTTGACAAATACTTCTAAGAGGCATTGAATGTATTTACGGCTTGTAATTGAAATAACCAAAACAAGTTATCCTTTAATTGCAATTTAATGTAACTTTGGTATTTTCCTAAGAGTTTAATTACAATTGTAACTAAAAAATATCTAATTACCTCCATACGTTCCAGACGTCTTGCCAATCCCACAACTTTCATCCCGGATTCGACAAGATCTTTTGCAATGGCTGCTCCGATTCCGGAACTTGCTCCGGTAACAACCGCCACTTTACCTTGCCAGCGATCCATTTTTATCAAAATTTTTTTTTATGAATTTATATTCAATCGAAACACTTGGTAGCTGTTTAGATTTTGATTGTTTTTTTGGTAAACATCTTTATATATTTTAATTCATATCTTAAAATAGATAAGTTATCATGAAAAAATTAAAGGTTGCATGGAAGTATTTGATTTTTGGCAATGATATTGACCAATCGCCGTAATAATTACAAATAAAGTACAATACTAAATTAGAAATTAAAATTATACTCGGTTTTAGACAATTTGGTAATATTTTACAAAATAATTAGATTAAAGCATTTACATATTAATGAAATTAGTTATATGTGGAATTGTGGATTATATATTTATACAGATTAATCAAGTATTTTACAGTATTATATGGATAATTATTTATAATTAGATTTACTTTGTACTTTGTTTTTGAAGATATAATATATAGAACCAATTCGTTGAGCAATTATTTAATTGCTAATACTTTTTACAACGCCGTTTTTATGCAAATAAATAAATGAAATATTTTTTCCTAAAACTTATCTCCAATAGGGCGTATAGTCAGCTCATGAACCTAAAAATTTTATGATTTAGGTAAAAACAAATTTAAAAAAATTAATAAAATTCAAAATTACGTACCTGGACATGTTCTGGTGTGCTTAAACAGTACATAATTGCTTGTGAAATGTCTTCTGGTTGCAGATGTGGATTTTGATTGAAGAATTCCTTTCGATCGGGTTCAGGAAATATATCATCAAAATACCAGTATTTACAACTCCTGGACTAATACTCTGAGAAAAACAAAATAGTATAAATACATATTTTATGATAAACATAAGCTATATTCAATTCATTATTTAATTAAATTATAATCAAAACAATATATGAAAAATAAATGCGATATATTTCGCTTCAAAAATCAAAAATAAGTTAAAAATTATTTAACATCGGCTAGGGAATTAAGCATATTGGGATGTGATTAATTATTTATACCACCACAAAGTTAAAATAAAATAGCTGCAAAAATTTACACAAAAATCAAAGTTACAGTTCAAGGCTACCTTAAACTCTACCAATGCTTTAACAGAGTGTTCATCATTTTTTGTTTTTTAAATATGGACCTTGATTTTTATTATAATTATCTAATTAATGACCTTGATTATTACTAATAAATATATTAATACTAGAAAAAATAAGTTTCTTACCGTGACTTTTGTCTTGCTTTGAAGATACATCATTTCTTGTCGAAGTAATTCAGTTAAAGCAGTAACACAGTATTTTGATGCTGGATACATATTCATTGTAGGTGGTGTATTATGATTAGCAGAAATCGAATGTCCATATAAACTAAAACAAATATTACACAATTAAAGCATATAAATAAATTATTTTTTATATATCAATTACCTGTTGATATGAATTATGTGACCAGCAACGTCGCGCTCTTTCATAGAATTAAAAGCTTCTCTGGTGCAGAAGCATAGTCCTAATACATTGATGTCTAAGACTTTTCGCAAGTCTTCTGCATTTCCAGGATTTGTTAACATATTTTTTCTGAAATATTTATATTTAATTATTTTGTAATAATAAAACAAGAGTATAAATAATTATATATGTGTGTTTTTATTAAAATACCTGACTATTCCAGCACAATTCACTAAAACATCAACGCCACCAAAAGTTTCTCTAAGCCATTTGAATGACTCAATTACCTCATCTTCTTTAGAAATATCACAAGCTTTTAGATAGAACTCACCAATAGTACATTGCTTTGAAATGAGAAATAATAAAAAATAAAAATATAATGGAATTTAATAAAATATGAAAATGAAGTAGGGTAATAATGTATTCACCTCATTTTTATTTGCTTTAATGTCTAAACCAATAACTTTCATTCCAGCCTTCAAGAGATCTTTGGCCACAGCTTGACCAATTCCGGAACATGCTCCGGTCACCACAGCTACTTTATTCTGCCAACGATCCATGTCTTGTGATTTTCAAATTTCTATGAGTAAGTGATAAAAAAAATTGTGAGCAAAAAATAATTTTAACACATATAAATATTGTTTACTAGATAACATTATCCTACATATACAAAATTGTCACGAAGAAATACATTTACATTTTTCTTGTTTGAGTTCGTTATTAATCTAATAAACACGTGAGTATTATCATAATAATAATGCAAACGACTGATGTATAAATATTTTAAGAAGAGTAAAATGTAAATTTATCATACAATATATCAACTGATAAAACTTATTTTTATGTTTTTCAATTTTATCCCAATTTATAGCTCAAAGTTTCTTTTAAAAAGTTATGTGAAATAAATATTTTAACTTACCTCGGTCAAAACACAATTTACAGTATTCCAAAGAACCGCTCTAAATTTGCTTATCAATGTTATTTACTTTAATTTATGTAATCTACAAAACGATAAATATGTAAGAAACTAAGCAATTAAAAGATAATTATAGTGAGACACTCACAAAATTATAAGAATCGAAATTGGTTGTGTTGGTAAAAATAATTAAAAAACTATGAAACAAAATATAATATTTTAATTTAAATTATTTATTTAAATCAATATGAAACCAAAATACTGTTTTTACTAAAATCCAGAAATTATGGAATATTTCTAGAATTATTATATATTTTTAATTTTTTTTTTCATGTCACATATTTTTTCATGTTGAATACACAACAGCACAAGCAAGACTAATAAAATTAAATCGTCTTCAATTGAAAGTAGCAGAATATTTATTTAGAGATTTGTGAGCTGAGAGGCGAAAAAATATGTGATATGCAAATACAATTTTCATGCTGATAAAATATAATATCAATTCAAAAGAAATATTCAGATATATATAGACTAATGCGATTTTTAGTTATTCACAAGTGAGATGCTTTTTTTACCTAGTCCAAAAACTTGAATAAATAAATTAAAGATAGCATAATAATATTTAATTATGCATAAATATATTTATAACCGGAATAAATACAAACAAATGATAAACTATTTCCTGTATTTTGTAAAAATACTTCAAACCTTTAGAATTTTTCACCCACTGGTCGAATTGTCAGTTCGTGAATCTGAAAACAAATCAAATATGAAATTTTTATTTATTCAACAATACGTTTGTTATGTTATATTAGAAATTAATTGTTGTGAGCAATAGCATTTTGAAGGACAATATTTTATTAAATATGAATTTTCGCCAGACCTGTACGTGCTCTGATGTTCCCAAACAGAACAAAATCGCCTCAGACACATCTTCTGGTGATAAATGTGGGTTTTGCTCCAAAAATTGGGCCCGATACTCTTCAGACACAAAAGTCTTTAATATTCCAGTGTCGACGACTCCAGGACTAATACTCTATGATAATAAGAATCACAAAAATATTTTTCCTGTTGTTAATTATAAATTATAAGGAATAAAAGGTTGTATAATTACCGTTATTTTAGTTTTATTTTTCAAATATACCATTTCTTGTCTAAGAGTTTCGGTCAGGGCGGTTACACAAAATTTAGATGCTGGATACATGCAAAGTGTAGGTGGAATTTCAGGGTTCACGCCAACATGATGTCCAGTCAAACTTAAAAATAAAAAAAAACTATTTGTATATCATTGAACTTAAACTACTAATAACACTGTAACATTTCAGGCCAACTATTATTTACCATTGCTGTGCTAATAATTTATCAATAGTACCCACACTGCTGTACCAGCCAACTCTAATGACCGCTATCATATAATTATTTTCAAATTATGCACACCTGTTTATATGTATGATATGACCACTAACATCGCGTTCTTTCATGGAATTAAAAGCTTCTCTGGTAAAATAGCATAAACCAAGAACATTTACATCTAGTACAGCACGTAAATCATCAGTATTTTTTGGATTCGTCAGCATATTCATTCTAGAAAAATAGATCCAGTTAATAAAAAATTTAAGCAATAATTCTTTTACATGCATGAAATATATAATGAAACTTATGACTTTTATTTACCTGATAATTCCTGCATTATTAACTAAAACATCAACTCCTCCAAAAGATTTTTTAATCCATGCAAAAGTATCCAGAACTTGCGGTTCCATGGTGACGTTGCATTGACGTGGATGAAGTTCACCGCCTTTAGTTTTATTAAGCAACTCCGCATTTTTCTGCAGACACCAAATTTAATCTAATAAATTTATTATAAACTTTATATTTTCATCGTACCTCCATAATTTCTGTTTGAAGATCGACGCCAACAACTTTCATGCCGGCTTTGACGAGATCTTTGGAGACCGCGGCACCAATACCAGAATTGGCACCAGTGACCAGAGCTACCTTGCCAAGCCAACGATTCATTCTAAAAGAATAAAAAGTTAATAGTATTAATTAATTAAATTAAATGTTGTTGGTTTTAGGTAAGTATTTAAAAAAAATGAATAGCTTCAAAGTATTACATAAAATTGTTCGGTTAAGTACTTAGTGCACTTTTACTGTAACTGAAGTATTTCAATTATTAAATATGCCTGCTTGTTTTAACAATATGCATAAATATGATAAATATGCAAAATTATTGGAAATATATTTTAAACATTTTCCGCATTATCTTTATGCAAAATTAAATTTAGAGATAAACAAATATGAAGAACAAGTTTAAAAATAAAACAATTATATAATATATAATTATACAAAAATCCCTTTCAAATAAAATATGTAACCAATTAGCTTTATTATGAAATGAATAATATAGAGTAATATGCCAAAATAAAACATAAAACGGCGATTGAAATGAACATACATTAATTATTTATAATTGCAAAATTACGATAACAAGTCACATGCATAAAAATTATTATATTCATTTATAGTTTTTATATTTTTCATGATGTATAATTATGAATAACAACGCAAATATATTTGTATATTTATTGCCTAAAATTTTAAGAATAATGAATTTTTCTGTTAGATATTCATTTTCAAAAAAAATTACAATTGATCTTCTAGATATTTTCATATAATTTCTGATCGCTTAGGAAATACAAATAATCTACATAACAAATTAATCATTTTTATAATATATTTTCACCGACTGCTCTCACCATTATTTCGTTCACCTAAGAAATATTTAATGCAAAATTAACTACAAATTAGGATTAACATATTTTTTAAATCATAATTTGAACAAAATATATTAAACAATGAAAGTCATCAATGTTGTGTAATTAATTTACCTGAACATGTTCAGGAAGACTCAAACAAAATTTAACACAATTCGATACATCTTCTGGAAGCAAATGAGGAAATCGATCTGTAATTTTATTTTTAGTTTTATCAGATGAGAAATTTCTTGTCATATTTGTTGCTGTCAGACCTGGACTAATACTCTAAATAGTAATAATACCCAATAACTAACTTTAATTTTTTAAATATTAAAACTGCATAAAACATTTATTTAATAATTACTGTAACTTTAGTTTTGTTCTTCAAGTAAGTTATTTCTTGTCGTAAAGTTTCAGTAAGTGCAGTTAGGCAATATTTTGAGCCAGCGTAAATATTTGTCATTGGAGCAATTCCTGGGAATGATAAAATAGAATGCCCTGCCATGCTAAAACAAATAATTTATGATATTTAATACATATATATATATATATATATATATATAATAACAATGACTTTCGTTAATCTTACCTATTAATGATAATTATGTGTCCAGAAACATCACGCTCTTTCATGGATTTAAAAGCTTCTCTTGTACAAAAACATAATCCAAGTACATTGACTTGTAATACATCGCAAAGATCCTTTGTATTTCCTACATTCGTTAGCATATTTTTTCTACGATATGATATTTAAAAAATGACAAATTTATTTTACTACATCACATAGGATTCTAATTAAATTTTTTGAACATAAGTTAACTTATGTTGATCATGACCCTGATGTGTGTACCTAATAATACCAGCAGCATTGACAAGAACATCCACGCCCCCAAACTTTTCAAAAATCCAAGTAAATGAATCTATTACTTGTTTTTCTTTACTTATATTACAAATTCGTGGATAAAGTGCTCCATCATTCGATCTATTTATCTGAAGAGCATTTTCCTGCAAATTTATGAAAATATATTAAAATTTGCAAGGTTTCAACACACAGAACAGAAATAATTACCTGAATAGTATGGATCTGAAGATCTAAACCAACCACTTGCATGCCCAATTGTGCAAGATCCTTTGAAATTGCTGCGCCCATCCCGGAATTTGCTCCGGTAACGACAGCAACTTTTCCAGTCCAACGATTCATTTTAAAAATAAATTATCAGAGGTAAAATTTAATAGAACAAAACTGATGTTGGATCTAAATTTGTTGAAAATTGGTTAATAACAAATAACTGGTTAACAGATTTATTACAATGGACACAAATATTCTTTAGGTAATCAATTGCTAACAATTAGATGTAATTTTTGAAAAGCAGAAAAAAGACAAGTAAACCCACATACCTTGTTATTGTACCCTTGAAGTTATAATTTAATAAAGAAATATTATCAGAAAATAATAATTTACAAACAATAACAGAAAATGTATAGTTTATTTCTTCAATAAGATAATACTTCTCCGACAATTTTGTTCTGCATTTAACATGTCTGTTTTAGGAAATTTAGTTTTCAAATAAATGGATTTCATTTCACAATGCAAAAATATAATTTAATGTAAATATTTTAACTACTGATAAGATAATAAAATTATAAGCATTGCAAAATATAAATTATGCGTGCCATTCAAAAGTAATATACTGAATATATCTACACTTCCGATTCATAATTTAGTTAAAATTTCTGTCGTTTGAATGATACCAACCAAAGCGTTGATATTTTAAATCTATTTTACCACTTCAGAATTAAAGAAAAATTAAAACAATATTTATGCTACCAAACCTTTATTATATATATTTTTGATAATCACAATTTTCAATCATTTGTATCCATTTATGTTCATATTACATTGAAATATCCCTTCATTTAAATTTTGTACTATAAAATTGTAGTTAAAACTTCTCTCCGACAGGTTTAATTGTAAGTTCATGTACCTAAAATAATTAAACCAAAATATAAATAAACAAAAGTATCGCGCATAAAATTTTAAGCTAATTTTAATAATTAAATCAACTAACCTGGACATGTTCAGGTGTACTTAAGCAGTAAAGGACAGCTTGAGAAATGTCTTCTGGGTTAAGATATGGATTATATTTCAAAAACTCTTGTTTTTTTTCTTCATTCATAGCTCCATCGAAAATTTCGGTCAAAACTACGCCTGGACTTATGCTCTGGAAATATACATAAAAACATTTCATTTAATATTCTTTAAAATTATTTATTCTTTATTAATATGTATATAGAAACAACAGTAAAATATAAGAAAATATATATTATATAGGAAATTATATATATATATATAATATAAGAAAAAATAATAGTATGATTTTTTTATTTTTTTTTCACTATAAGATAAAAATGAATATCCAGACATCTGGAGCTTTGTATTATGTACACTGTTCATTTTTGCATTAAAAACATTAATTAATTAATCTATAAATGCTTTATGAGACCTGAAATAATAAATACTTACAGTAATTTTAGTTTTACTCTTCAAATACATCATTTCTTGTCTAAGTGTTTCAGTAAGTGCAGTCACACAGTGTTTAGAACCAGGATAGATGTTGGTGGCAGGAGGAACATTTGGAACCAATGGTATCGAATGACCAACCACACTTGAAATGTTAATGATTAATATATTGAAGATTATTGTTTTTAATAAGTTTTATCTACTTACCTATTTATGTGAAAAATGTGTCCAGCAACATCACGTTCTTTCATGGAATTAAAGGCTTCTCTTGTGCAAAAACAAAGTCCCAGCACATTCACATCTAATACACTTCGTAAATCATCTGAATTACCGGAATTCGTCAACATATTCATTCTGTTAACAAAAAACCAGTAGAATCTATATTTTTATGTAATTTATAACTAATGTTTTTGTATGTATCTTTGTGTCCACCAAACTATATGAACATTAAAGTTAACGCCAGAGGTACTCGCAATCATTTTTCGAAAGCATATCTAACAATTAATATTATTACAATATTGGAAATAATATAAAAATACGATAACGTTAATATACAAATGACAATCAAATCAATTATGATGAAACACGATAATTCATTCAATTATCAATTATAAGCTCACCTGACAATTCCAGCATTATTAACCAAGACATCAACACCGCCAAGATTTTCTTTGACCCATGAAAATGTATCCAATATATCTTGTTCTTTGGAAACATCGCATTTGCGGGCTGAAAATTTTCCTCCATTCTTCAGGTTCATTGATTGAGCGTTTTCCTGACAAGAAAAAATGATAATTGATAATTGATAATATGGGATAAAAGCGTTATCAATTTAATTTCCTATAGATAATATTCAATAATTCAATGTCAAGTTTAATTTTGTACGATATTTTGGATGTAGTTGAATTAAATATAAAATTAACTTGCGTAACCTGAATGGATCACAACGTCAAAAAAACGCCGAAAATAGGCAAAAAAACTCTTTTGAAATGCAAAAACAAATTTTCATATGCAATGGCTGTGTTGACATATTAATAATTTATATATTCTATCAACAGTTTTGATTTTTATTATCTAACAATACATAATTTTTTTTAAATATAAAATATACCTCCATTTTTTCCTTCCTTCTGGCCAAGCCCACGACCGTCAATCCTGCTTCCACAAGATCCTTAGTAATAGCTTCTCCAATTCCTGCGCTTGCTCCTGTGACGACAGCTACTTTTCCTCGCCAACGTTCCATTATTATTTATTTTTATTCACTTATTATTAAATTAATAAAATTAAGATAAAACCCCAACTTCCTAATTACTTGGTGTACCTTTGATATCACAAGCAGACTATACACTACTGAATATTTCTGATATGTGATTTACACAAGGTGCTGCTGATATATGATAAATCACAATGATGCGATGTCCATATGAGAATCTTGATGGAGATAATTACACCAAAAATTAATCTGTCCTTGAATTATATTTTTGTCAAGTCATAGGTATACAAGTTTTTGCGTGATGCCATTTTGATATACAGAAATGTATACGGAAGTTATGTAACACCACTTACTTAATATTCGGTTATAAAGAGTACGCACGCATAATTTGTAAAAGAAAGGTATATATGTAAATATATACGTGGAATAATTATTATTCCACGTTCGTAAAATTTTGCTTTTATCGCCTAATTATAAAGAAACGGCTCGGCCAATCGTCGCCCAAAACTAATCGACGCGAGTCCCTTGCTGATTCATCAAATATCGAGATGACTGATAAATATATTTCAACTAAAACAATTATTTGAATTAAAAAAAGTATTACTATTTTAACCAATTTCAAATGCTGCAAGGATATACGAATTAGAAATCATCAAATTTTTTATGACTTTTTGCAAATGCATAACTTAGTTGCAAAATTTTAAAAAAGTCTGAACAATCTGTATTAGTAATGAATAATAAATAACAATAATTTTTTAAAAATAATAATGTATTTTCACTTATTTTCAAATCCATTTTCATGTATTTAATATAACCGCAAATACGATTTGAAATATTTTAAGTCAACTCTCATTTTTGACTTTAGTTCTAAAACATATGTTTTATTTTCACACTTTCGTACATCTACTGCAAATTGAAAAATTATAAACAAAGACGTTCATTCAATAAAATAAGTTTATTGAAATGCCACATATATATTTTAATCTAATATTAATATTTATTAATTGTGGAATGGTGCAAACTGGGTGTTTCAATGAAAAAAGCGATACGGGTCAATATGTATTAGCAATGCAATTTTTAGAAGTTTTCTCCTTGAGGCCTTATGGTCAATTCATGCACCTATAAAATAGATAATGGACAATTAATCTAAAAAAAAATCATTTTTAAACAAATTATAATCTAATTTTATAAAACATCTATAAAAGAGATTGATTTAACCACATCCTATCACGCGAATTGAACTAATTTCATTTGAATTAAACTAATTATAATTTTATTTATGTATATAGTATATATTATAATTTTATTTATATATATGTAATATATTGAATAAATTACCTGAACGTGTTCAGGTGTGCCTAAACAATAAAGCACCGCTTCAGAAATATCTTCCGGTAAAAGATGTGGAGTATTTTTTAAAAATTCTTCAACCTTTTCTGGTGACGACGATTTGCCAACCATTTCTGTTGCAACAAATCCTGGACTAATGCTCTAAAAAAGAAAATAATAACTCATTGGATTGCAAAATGAATTAATACTAATATATATTAGTAAACAATATATTTATATAATAATGTATTATTATTAAGCATACCGTAACTTTTGTTTTATTTCCCATTTTAATCATTTCTCTACGTAGAACTTCAGTAGAAGCAGTGCAGCAAAATTTTGTACCAGGATAAATATTTAGATTGAATCCAGGAACATCAGGGACCCAATGGCCTAAAACACTAATTAAATATAAAATGTAAGTATATGTAATATATATTTAAAATATAAAATATTTATTGAAATTGTTTTATTCCAACTTGATCATTAAGAAGTCTTTCAGTGCACGGTTTGTAAGTGTAATTATAATCTTATTATAATCTTATACCATATATAATTATTTGAATAAATCTTGTTCTGCCCTAATTTCAAGTTATTCCAAAGTATCATATTCCCCATAATTTATTCTCACATTCTATTTATTTCTTTAAGTAATTACTGTACGCATGATTTGTGCAAGTATGACGTCAATTGCAACAAAATTATAAAGTAATAACATGGTTGGAAGAATGTTGCACCGACTATTAGATCGTCACATTTCAAATGAGCAGGTGTATAATTACATATAATAATTTTTTTGCCAGATATAATGTGAATAAATTGGTGGTAGATTGAACTAAAAACGTACAGGTGATGACGAGGTTGCAATAGCTTTACAATCTTACGATTTTCTTCCAATTACAATATTTTTATGTTCAAAATCCATTATTACCTGTTGATATGTATTATGTGTCCAGCAACATCACGTTCCTTCATAGAATTAAATGCTTCTCTTGTACAGAAGAAAAGACCAAAAATATTCACATCCACAACACTCCGAATATCATCAGTATTATCAGGATCGGTCAGATTCACATTCCTAGAAAAATTAATACCATCTAAATTAATACATTCAGAATCATCATCAAGTTATGCGTATCAAAAATCATCATCAAAACAAATGCGTACTTTGAAATGCCAGCATTGTTAACTAATACATCAACTCCTCCAAAAGTTTCTTTGACCCAAGCAAAAGCATCCAGAATATCCTGCTCTTTTGATACATCACATTTAACTGGATAAAATTCTCCATCATTGGATGTATCCATTGAAGCTGCATTCTCCTGAAAAATATTAAATTAACAAATGAAAACAAACATAACCACTACTTGATATCCGATGCCTGAACAGAATCTAACCCCTGTGACTTAGTTTAAAGATAATAGATATTCTACTTGAACCACAAATAAGCCTTTTTTACAAATAATAGTAAACCTTTATTTATATTTTTCTTACTTCCATTTTCTCGATCCTCCTAGCAAGTCCCACGACTTTCATTCCTGCTTTAACCAGGTCTTTCACAATTGCTTCTCCAATTCCTGCACTTGCACCAGTCACCACTGCTACCTTACCTTGCCAACGATCCATCGTGGAATAAATGGTGAACTGCAGTTAAAGATCTATAATATTCATTATTTATAAGCAAACCTTCATAATCATAATTATGAAAATATAAATACGTACGCTGCATTTTCAGTACAATGAATATTTATTACAAACATCAGAATGTGTATACACGCAGTTGATAATAGACTATTACACTGCCCATCAAAACAATTACCAGAAAATGTTTACTAAATAATGTGCAGTAAAGGGCGTGCAGAGAAAAAAGTTAGTGAAGAGAATTATTCAAAAATCATTTTTACAATCCGGTATGAATAAAGATAATGTTTTTGAGAATAACACAGATATTTAATTTTCATATAAATTACAAGTCGTCTTCAAGAAGAAATCGAGTTTGTTAATTTGACCATGGCTTTTAAACCTAATAAGACACAACTATAAAAAAAGTATAATTTATAACATTTTTAGACTCGAGATTAATTCATAAGTAATAATTCTTTCTAAGTAAATTGATAATTAACTATATATCAATAATTTTTTTTTAATCTTATTTATGTGATTTATACTTGTAAAATAATAAATCAGAGAAAATATACGCCAATGTGTTGATTATGTTTACACATAAATTAGTTTTCGTCACGCTTACCAAAAAATATTATTATTCTTGCATAAATACATACCTTAGGATAACTAATAACGTCCTTATAAATAAAATATGTAAAACAAAATAAATTGTAAGTTAATTTGTAACACATGTGGTTCAGTGAATTTGTTTATGGAAATATTTAACGATAACACATAAACTTTTATCAAGTCATATTATTTATAATTATCGTTTTATAATATGTAATTTATAAATCAATAGTTTCACAAAATAAATGAACATGTTTGGATAAATAAATTATTCTGAATAAAACATAAAATGATCCTATTTCTTTTGCATTGTTGGGATGAGCCTAAATTGATGAAATAAGACAAAGATTAAAATAATAGCTAAATTTGAACGATAAATATGATCATTATTTCAAATATTCAGATTTTTGTTTACAGAGCAATTTTTTAATTCTTAAATTTAATTTTTAAACAAGCATTTATATGTATACTTAATAGAATATTGCTTTATAAATATCAAAATCGTCATGCCTATTTTTCTATTTATATAATCGATCAGTTCCCGTTTTTTTAAAACTATTTTTATTTTATATGCTATTAAATCAACCAATAATGAAATAACTCGTTAGATATTCTATACACGTTTTTATTGGCTTTTATGAGCATTTATCCACTTAAAATAATATAATTTTTAATATACTATTATATTTTGTTCCAAATGTATTTTATTGAAATTGTATCATATTGATTTTTCGTATACAATATTTTTATATCCATTTCATAGACAATTTAAATTTATACACGAATATGAGATATAAAAATGTACATTTTTTACCGGTCATTCATCTATTGAAGTATTTATGAATACTTCTGCTATAGAACTCTCACTTGTATAAAATTTTTATTTAGCAATGAAATTTGCTAAATAAAGCTTATACTGTTTACAATACCAATCACATTATTTATAATTATTTAACATTTGATTATAAGTTCATTTAATATTGAAGTAAATATCTAGTACAATCAATAACATTAAGGAATTTCTCGAAATTGTACTACATTCCTAAACAACATAACCAGAAGGACCAATTTGAAAATTTAACCAAAATTTTAGACCAAAATTTAACTGGTATATACCTATATTATTATTATAATAAAAGAAAATTAAATTCAATATGAGTTATACGATATATGAAATATATTAATATAATATTTGAAATAATTAACATTGAGACCAATGCTATCCTTCACCCTATGGCGGATCCAGGGTTGGGTCAAGGGGGTTATGAGCTCCCCCCCCCTGATAGAACACTAATTTAGCAATAAAGTTACTTTATAATGATTTTAATTATGTATTTTGTTACCAAACGCATTTTATAACTTGAACATATAACTTATTATAGACGAACGGCGGAGTCAAAGACTTCTAAAATTTAAGGATTTTCTAATCGTATTGCAAATATATGTTCTATACATAATTTAATTAGGTGACACCCCCTGGTGCCTGATCTGGATCCGCCACTGCCTTCACCATGTTTAATTCAATTAAAATTAAAAACTTATGATACGTGTACATAATAAACAAAGTAATAACAGCAATGTTTATAAATTAAAATCTTCTTATATTATTATTAGTAAATTTGATTTCTAAGGACTATATATTATGAATAAAATGAATTTTACAAATATAATTTGCAAGAAATATTTGTGTCACTTACCGGACGCAACTCGCAGTAGATGCACACTGCAACTGCAACTGATTGTGAGAACAGAACGTCATACTGGCTGCAACATGCAATAATGCACTGAAAATTCAAACTCACGTAAATAAATGATCGGCTTGGTCTTATTTGGCATTGAAATAACGCACACTGCCATACATATTGCATAATAGTTGGTCAGTAACCATTATTGTGCCTTCTCAATTATTTTTAACTTATCGATTGTACATACTTTGTTATTATCGAATAGGATGTGATGCATTCGATGTGCTATTTAAATGAGTTTTTAATAGTACTAGTCATTATAGCACTTAATTACAGCAGTTAATTATACTGCTATAATTAAGTCTGTGTCTATTTTCATATATTAGTATGAAATTAGACACAGTAAGGATGTCTCATTAGAATAAATTCAGCAAAGGAGTAAAGGGGTTGGGAAAAGTCTCGTGCAAAATATTCATATGAACTTATACAATATAAATTCATGAACACAAATATAGAAACTTTGATTAATCAACTATTCGCTTTATAAGTACTAGTCACTATCCATTGAATACATATACACATAATTATCTTATTAATAGCAATTAGAATTAACCAGTCCTATTAGCTCGTCAACTAATTTCTTAATAGAATTGGCTTATATGTGGCAACTAAAACAATCTTACTTATTTTTATATTTATTCATTTATATAAACGCCAATCGACTATGTACAATGAATTTATAATATAACACTAATAATTTCATAACTTAAACTACTAATAAAAAGATTGAATACTAACATTTAATATATAATACACATACACTTTATACATATTACTTTGGTAACATATAATAATTAATTGCACATATTATTTCATTATATAGATGCACTTTAAGGTATTAATTTTTTAGCTTTATATTGCTTACTACTTTGGCTAATTTATTTAAAGGATTGCAATGCATGTATTTTTATGGTCTTAATTGTATTAGATCAAAGTCCTTGTCATCTATATTTGATAATTTTTTATTATTACAATTTCTGGAATACAGATAATTTTTTTTAGTAAAGTTATCAACTCCTGGTGAGAACTATTTTGACTTGAAAACATACTGCTATTTATATTTCCCAGTGAAAACCGATGTCACTACTGCTTTACATCAAGCTGTCCGTGGTCGACATCGAATTTGATGTCCCTGTTTTGAAAGTCCACTAAGGAACACAGGGAAGTCAAAATATAAATGTAAATTACAGGCCAAAAATTATCAGCCATGTAAAGATTCATACAATTTATAACATGTTATATTAGATTACACTTTTTATTTACGGTGAACTAAGTATTTTGGCTTTGGCAATGAAACTGTTTGAAAAATAATTGCCCTAAGAAATGAATTTAATTTTCAACACAAACTACACAAAAAATAATAAGATAATCATTAAAATTAGATAATCACTAATATCTAATAAGAGATAAAGCCAAAAAGATTCTATAATACACCTTTAACAAAAAAATGTTTATTTCTGTGTATTTTCTCTTTATCATTCGAAGTGGTCCTGGTACTATCCTTAATAACTTTAATTTTGCAACAACAATGTTCCAGGATCAATTCCAGTCTCAAGCAGCTTGATATGAAGCGGTAGTTATATCAGTTTTATATACTTGAAAATATAGATTTTAATATGATTTCAAGTCAAGTCTTCTGGGATCTGGCTGAAATATTATATATATTAAATATCTATTTGAAAAATTTAATAATCCCAAAAAAGGGACAACCCCCACACAGCACATGGTTGACATATGGTCAACCTATGGTCGTCACAATGGGCTGTGGGGTTAACCTATGGTCAACCCACTGGTACCATATATGAACATAGGTGAACCCATGGCGACACATATGTCAGAGCCCTGGTTTGACCCATGGTCAACCCGACGGGTTCAATACGGGTATGCTATGGGGCTGGAATGGTATTGCGATGGGTCAAAATGGCGGTATATTGTGCAATAATGGTTGCATACTTTCCGTGCGTATTTGTAATAAATAATCCATATAGTAATAAATATTGAATGAACTAAAACTGCAATTCCATATGTAACATATTTATTAAATTAAATAAATTATAAATTTATTTAAACTACTACTAAATATAACTAAATTAAACTAACTTAACTAAATCATTATCCTAAGGTAATCATTATCCTAAAACTTATCATTATCTTATTATCTAGTACTATTAAATTTAAACTAATTATTTTATTTTTTATTTTAATTATTTGCATTATTATTATCATTATTGACATTCGGTTCAACATCACCTTCTAAAGCACTGAAAAGAACAAATTTTGAATTATTATAAACTATAGTTTTACATGTTTATTTTATATAATGAAAAATGTTAATTGACATTTTGGAAATATCTGGAATATATTTCAACTTACGGAGCACTCCGAACAAATCTGTCATGAGCATGACGCAGCCATCCTTTGGCACACTGCTCCACTTGGCTCTGCGTCACACGCTGTTGTTCAGATACAATATCTGAAAACATTATTGGTTCAATTATTTGTTTAAATAATAAATAGTTTAAAGTAAGTCATTTAATGCATTAATTAATACCTATAATCATTTTTACTATCAGAAGAGCCGAAAAATTCTTCTTCGCTTTGCCTCCAACCCAGCTATACTCCTTCGCTACCACATCCTTAAATACTTTTTTTAAAAGAGATATGGTAGCGCTTTTGCAATCTACGCCACCAACTCGTCCTAGGCGTGCTTTCTAAAATGATACAGTATATGTAATTGATTTGTCCATTTTATCCATTCAGAAACATATCATATTTACCAATTTTTCTGCTATTGACGCATCTGTCAATAGCTGCTCCACATCTAGCAGTTCTGCCTCTGTCCGAACAGGAAATTTATTATAAACTGCCAGTGTATAATCAGGCAAATCATTCGCCTTTTTACACTGGCAGCACTGCCTACTAATGCTGTCCATCACAGCTTGGAGCTTACTGTCGATGGTGGCATTCAGCTGCTCAAATTTTAGATTTATTTTTGTGTCCAGCCTCGAAATAAGTTTCTCCAAATCTGTTTTTTTAAAGTTGTCTTAACTTCATAATGTACATTAACATTGAAGTAATTAAAGTAATGAAATAACTCACTTTTGTACCCATCCATGGGCTCTGTGCTGCTCCCAGCACCATGGTCAAAGATCCTATTTCCATCATCATAATCTTAAATATAATAATAGGTGATATGATATGTAACATTATTATACTTTTTAGTAGATTACTTACAAGTGTTATTTAGACGCCTTGTATTTGGCGTTGGTCCCCTATTAACCATTACTGATGTGGAATCTAAAATTTTAGATTAATAATATCAACATAACATAACTTTATTTGATTTGCATTGAGTTTACTTACTGCTCTGCATGGTATGTCCAAACAATCCGTTGTCGAAGCCTAAAAATAAAATGGTTTAAACTGAACTGAATTAAACATAAGATATATATAATATATATATATTATATGCCAGTGTATATATACATTACACTGGCAGCAATGTTATCAAGCCTGTCCATTACATATTAGTGCTTGCTATCTATGCTTGCACATATTTGTTCAAAATTCTGATTGATTTTTGTATCCAATCTTAATAGAGTTTCAACAATTCTGTTTTTTCAAGCTTAACTTCATAATGTAACATTGATGTAATTAATGTAATGAAATAACTCACCTTTGTACCCACCCGTGGGCTCTGTGCTGCTCCCAGCATGATCAACCAGCCTTCCGGCCTCATCGCAATCTTAAATATAATATTAGGTGATATGATTAATGTTACATACATCAATATACTTTTTAGAAGATTACTTACAAGTGTTAATTAGACGTTGACTTGGTGTTGATTGGTGTTGTCTATTAACTACTGATGTGAAATCAAAAATTTTAGATTATTAATATCAACATAAAATAACTTCATTTGATTTGCATTGGGTTTACTTACTACTCTGTCCGATAAATGCGTTATCAAAGCCTATAAAGTAAAAATGAATGCAAGATTTACATTTGATAATAAATATTTAATTAAATACAATTTATTGTATGCGATCTTACTGTTGTTTGCAACAGGAGTAGAACATCTACTCAATAAAGTTGGTGGTGCAGGAGCTGGAGGCAAGACGCTAGGCTCGGAGTCCAGGTCAAAATCATCACTGGAACTTCGGTTCCTTCTGGCACGAACTCTCCTTTGTACCTTTCTTGCCTCCGCATCAGAAGTTAAATCAGAATATTCGAGGGCCTCCTTCATTTTATCAAGTCCCACTTCAAATGAGTCTACAATCATAATAGAAATATATTTTGATACTCTTATTACTAATTATATCTGTTATGCTATCCACCCGTAGATGTAAAAACTCTGTGGACTTTGTATCTTTTCCAAGACTCCCTTGGCTGCATCATCTGCTTCACTGCTATATTGTACAACTTTTTATCCTCAAAATTAGGATAGAAAGATGTACAATCTTCTCTATTAAACCAATTTTTTGGGATTATATCCACCCCATCTTCAAACAAAACCACAATGAATGATTTTATGCTCATCTAAAATTAAAACCCAATTAGTTTACATTTTTATCATAAATTACTAGAATATTTGAATATAATCTTTTCATAGATTATTATATTCGAAGAATTAATCTAATGAATTGCTTACCTTGATGGTTTTATAAATTTTAATTTCAACGTGCAGAAGTAACCTCTATGAAACGCCTATCAAATCGGTAGGTGTGGCTTAACGCGGTAGGTGTGGTTAATATATTAAACTATATAATTATATAAAACTATATAATTTAATAATAAAAATGATTAAAATATTATGAAATATTTAATCGAATTTTATATTATTTTAGATAAAAAAACCTTATTAATAAAGCAGCACGATAAACAAAACTAAAATACAACCAAATACAACATAGAGCATTAGAGGTGCTCTATAATCAAGCATTTAAACATTTCATTGATACCAACCGACATAATTCGCGGTGAACAAATATTTTCAAAGTTATGTTTTTTAACATACGCAAATATTTAATAATTATTGCATTAAAAAGTATGAAAAATTGATCAAAAAGACTGTTAAAAAATACCAATTGATTGATATAATAAAAATGCAATTATTTGACAAATTAATTAATCCACCAGACAAAATAGTCTAATTCAGTGATGTGCCGCCGTGCCGCCAAAGATTTTGGCAGGCGTGGCTTGTCGCATGGGCGTAAAATGATAGTACTTATTGATACCAACCGCCAAAGGCGTAAAAATATTTTCGAAGTTGAATGCACTAAAAGTTCCTTATTATAAAAATAAATTAAATTAAAAAAAAATCAACCCATGTCTTATGCTCACGGATAAATATTTCGTTATTCATAGATTCCGATATATGTCGGAACCAAAATCCTTTATAAATGCCGTCATTTTGAACAAATAAAAAAAACTTTGACAAAGCGTCTTCATTGCTTTGTGTTTTTGAGATTTCAAACAGAATGAAAACATTATTTATTATTATTTTAAGTATAGTATTTGGTATTATTAATCATCCATTAAAAAAGATGCTTTTATATAGATTCCGATATATATAGGAACCAAAATCCTTTGTAAATGCCGTCATTTTGAGCTAATAAAAAAAACTTTGACAAAGCGTCTTCATTGCTTTGTGTTTTTGAGATTTCAAACAGAATGAAAACATTATTTATTATTATTTTAAGTATAGTATTTATATTATTAATCATCCATAAAAAAAAGATGTTTTTATATAGATTCCGATATATATAGGAACCAAAATCCTTTGTAAATGCCGTCATTTTTAGCTAATAAAAAAAACTTTGACAAAGCGTCTTCATTGCTTTGTGTTTTTGAGATTTCAAACAGAATGAAAACATTATTTATTATTATTTTAAGTATAGTATTTGGTATTATTAATCATCCATAAAAAAGATGTTTTTATTATGACTGATAATCACCCGAAAAAATAGTTTTATGAAAAAGTATGATAATGCAAGTATATATATCACTCCATTGGAATTCCTGCATATTTCCCAATATCTGTACAGAGAGGAAATACAACATATTTGTGAATAATTTCTGTTATGGGCCATGTTAATAAATCAGATGTTTCACTCAACATATATTCCCCAATTAAAGAGGATTTGCAGGGATGGTCATACAAATCTTCTTTCACTTTAAATTCTTTACCTATTATTACTAATTGATTCAGTTTTGTACAGAATGCCACATTAATTATATTCACAATTTTACCATTACGTAAAGCACAAAATGAATCGGACTTTTCATTAATATTGAATGTGAAATCTGAACAATATACAACCTTATACTGTGGATTACCACAATACTCTATCAAAGGCCCTTCGAAATGCATAGACTTCTCACAAACTCTAGACATGGCTACAGGCCTTACATCTTTACCTATAAAATGTTCTTTTACCTCAAAGTATCTTTTATAAATCTGCTGCAATGGTTTCTCTGACTTCCGTATGTATTTTTTCAAGACCTGCATGTAATTCTCAAATTTAAAGGCACTAAATGAATCAAGTGTACCAAAACTTCTGGCGTCATTAGCTAAGTGTAATATGTTATGTATATTATGACTTACATTATGATCTCCATATAATACCTTAAAACTTTCAACAAAATAATGAAGTAGCTGCTCAGCATAATCTAAAAGATCAATTAATAATGTGTTGCTACATAAAATTTTAATAGCAACATGTAAAGTAAGAAAATTTTTGTAAAAGTCATTTGAAATATGAGATTTCAAAACTACTGGACCACTATACAATAATAATTGTCTAAATTCTGTAGCTTTCCATGATCTCACATATTTCAATGATCGAGGCTTCCTAGCAAATTCCTTGGGTATATAAATCTTTAAGCTGCATAAAAAATTGGAAATGTCATTAGTTTTAGCATATGGTAAACGAATTGGAAGCTCACCTTCAGTCCACAAAAGCATCAATCTCTTAACAGCTCCTAAACAAATCAAATGCATATAGTCAAGTGGTACATTAGTAACTAAACCAATGTACGGTATTTCAAGCAATCTCGTATAGCCATTGTGGTAGTCTTCATCTTCTAAGCTTCGAAAGTGTTCATCAGTTCTTGCAGGTGATTGCATTTCTGGAAAGCAAATTCTGCGATTAATATGTGAACCACGAACAAGACATTTCGAGCAACTGAAGTAGCCTGTGTGTCCCTTTGTCTGCAATATAAATGATTTGGCGGGAGTATCACAAACAAAATATTTAATGCGTATCTTATAATGTTTCCCATTGTGATCAAAACCCTCAGTGCTTAATATAATTATTTCATCGACAAAATCACTTAAAAATTCATTTGAATCTTTAGGTTTCTCAAGCCCACAGTAAAGTCCAATAATAAATATATATTTGGTAAGAATTACAGAACATAAGATAGGCCAAGCTGACATGTTCGAAGAATTTGAGAGAGGTAAACCATCAACATTAATTTCTAATTCGATGATAGAAGATTTCAATTTCAACCTATCAATAGAATCTTTCAATCCAGTTAATAAACCAAAATGAATATATTCACCTGGACTTACAACTTTTGATACAGCAGTCCTTTTTGTTTTCAGAAGTGTTCTACTATCTGCTGGTAAATCACTGAAACAATCATGAAGTTTTAGCCCTTTAAGTAGTGCAGATACAGCATTATGAGGTATCTGATAATTCACAGCCCACTCTGCTAAAAATTGTCTTGCATCAAAAACTTCAGTTATATCATCATCCTCGCTATCTGAAAGAGAAGAATAATCATTTCTTTCAACATCGCCCTGTAACTCTGCCTGGTAAGAAGACGGTCCTCCAAAGTCATCTACAATAGAAGCATTAGTCGCAGTTTCAATATTATCTATTGTACAAGCACTAGTACTAGGCAAATCAATATTATCCTTTTCGCATTCAGAGTTCTGCAAAACACTTTCCGAACGTAATTTCTGCATTTCCCAATTAAGTCTTCTATAAAAATGTCTATCTGACACAGTCGCAATGTGTTTGCGAATTTTTTTATCAGACATATTTATTTATTTATTGACAAATTACAGAGTCAAACAACAAACAAATTACGAATATATTATATTCTAATATTGTTCAGGATTTTAGTAGCATAATTTTCCTTTTCAGCACTCAGTTTATAATTGTTTATCTATGACAGTCTGAAGTCATCAAACAAAGAATTGCAAATGACGCCGAACAACATAGAAGTGCCGCCATCTGTGCGCTAGTTGCGCAAACGCCGCGCACGCGTATGCGCATGCGCGGTATATTTGAATACATTTTTCATTTGCCCATAACAACACGGTGAGTAATGGGTAAGAGTGGGTCGACCATTGTTTGACCCGGCGCGTAACGTATGGGTCTAAGCCCACTGCGTCATAAATTGGCCCATAATGGGCTTATAATAACCCTGTAGGCTGTAAATGGGACCAAACAGGTTGACCATTGCTTGACCCGTGCTGTATGGGCCATTTGGGTTGTCTTCAAATAACACATTATATTACAATATTTTTTGGCGAATTTTGCCGCCAAGGATATATTTGATTGCAATTCAAAAATCATTCAAAGCAGTTTTTGTTTTTCTATAATTTATTAACATGCTTATAAACATACTAATTAAAATTATAATCTTCTATTATCAAATTAAGGCAATTTTTTGTGATATTTATTAGAAGTCTAGAGATAAACTAATGAAAACATATCATATATTCATTCAATTGATAAGGATAAGGCACATTCAATTTAATCATATCATTATGACAAAAATTTTGTGTTTATTTAGTTATTAAACTTTGCTTCTAATAGAAATATTTGCGACTTATATGTTCATAATACGCATCGTGTGCCTAATCTTTGTGTACGAATAAGTGTGTTGGAATGCAAATTTTGCAAGGTGATTCCATGACTTTTTAGTGATGTTGCTAGAAATATTTTATTTTAATTTTTCCTTAAACAACCAGCACATTTATTAAAAATAACATTTGCTCAAAACATTATCCTAATTCAATCCCATTACAACTGGAGCTCTAAATGTAAATCACGTTTGTAGATAATTGACGACACACATTCTACACCGGCAAATTTAGTTCAGCACATGCGTAATATTTCCTTATATACGTAGTAAGAAGTGACATTTTATTTTGACGCACATTTCTGTCGTAATTGAACATCTTTTACAAAATAATATAAACTGAAATGTTAAAAATTACTAGAGCTGTTTTAAGAAATATAATACGTACAAGTTCCGGATCATCTGTCGTAACTTCTGGAATGGGCGATATTAGTTCCGGTATGGTGTAACACATTCAAAAATAGATATGACTTGAATCACAAATCAGATGACATAAATAATTAGAAATTTTTGTTAATCATTTTTAAACGAAACTGCTTCTGCACAATATAAATGGTAAAAGATGTATTTTAATTATAAACAAAAAAAAAGTTTTTTTTAACAACAATCCATCTGTCAAATTCAAGAACTTTGACTCAACTGAACTTGGTTGTTAGTTATATTTAATTTTTCAAATTAAAAAAATGGCCGAACTGGGATTCAAAATATATAAAAAACATATTTTTTTGAGTTTCGTTTATAACCGAATATAGTTTGCTTGTTGAAAATCTATTTTGTTTTTAATTATAAAAACATGATTGTATATGGAGAAAATCATGATTCATTTCCCTATCTGCATATTTTACACAGAATGAAATTACGCATATAAATAATACGTCTTGATTCATATATAGGTCAAATTAAAAATACCACTTTTGATTGTGTATTTTAAGCATATGTTTATTTCAAATATAGATGCTTGGCTTACATTTACATTTGGCAATCGATCTGATAAACTTGATCTTTGTACAAATATTTGACATTACTGCCCGACATTTTTTTTTAAGTATGCGGCATAAAACATAATTTGTAAATTCGCACAAATCCTTCAACAATATTAATCACACAACTAATACACAAACGTAATTCTTTTAATACTAAACCACCTCCCATATGCATTATCGCAGAGATTGACATTGAGCTCTATAATTAGAGTTAGATCACTATAGTATCGTCATCGCCATTCATCGATACGGTAAAGTAGCCTTTAAAAATAGTTTGCTGTTTTGTGGCCGAAAGTAAACAATAATAACATTGAGTACAAATATTAGAAGTGAAAAATATTATTTTTAGTATCGAGTAAGAAATTAAATACTACCATGGAGGATAAAGAAGCTTTGAAAAAGAGGTTAACCTCTATTCAGTATCATGTTACACAAGAAGCAGGGACCGAGAGGCCCTTTTCGGGTATGTCAAACTAATGTATAATTATAATTTCACAAAAAACATCTTTATTTATTGGTACTTACATTTTTTTGCATAATTTCACTTTTCACTATTTATAGGTTAAAATTGAAATTAACCTCACATATTAAAATATTAATATGATAAAATCTATAAAAATATTATATTTGATTATAATGAAGTTAGTTGTTTAGCTATTTAGATAACTTCACTATTGTCTCAAATAGCGCTCAATATTTAAATTTACAATCAGCAAAATGCCCATGTGCTAATTTTTATAATTATGACTCATACCAAATAAAAATTAATCAATTTATCAGATATATATTTAAAAAAAGGTATTTACTTTAATTAAATCATTTCCAGGATGTTATAACAAGCATAAGACTCCAGGCACCTATCTCTGTGTAGTATGTCGTCAAGAGTTATTCAGCTCTGATAATAAGTTTGATTCGGGCTGTGGATGGCCCGCTTTCAATGATGTACTTGAAAAAGGAAAAGTTACTTTACATCATGATACAAGTCTAGGTAAGAATCACAAATTTTATATGAATATTGTTTTCAAGTGCATATATTTGATTTAATTAATAGAGCAAAATTTGTGTGTTTGCTTAGAAAGTTGAAGAGGAGATCACTTGGAATATATAAGACTTAATTGACTAGTGATACATATAATTTGAATAACTTAATATTCTGCTATTTCACATATTATATATTGCATCAATCAATGACCGTTTAAAATAATTAGAATATACTTTCCATATATCTAAAACTTGAATAACTCTTCTGATTTACTATCAGTCGCATTGTTGAAAAACTGAATAATTAGGACATTCCAAATTACAAAATTTTATGATTTATTCAAGTTCTGGTCCTCTTCAATATATTTATATCCAACTATTGATCAATGTTTCACTTGCAAATGTTGCTTTTTTGTTTTTACTAGTTTTTATGTTAATATAAAAGCATATTATTTTAAGATTTGCATATGTTATGTTCCTCTCAACATCCTTCCATATTAATTCACTCTTCCTGCTTGATTGTGATTGTTGTGTAGTGTGAATATTGTAGTATCACTTTGTAAAATTATAAATTCCATTAACCAATTTATAGCATGCCCTTGCTTGTTTTACTTTCTTTCCAAAAACAAGAAAATACGTTGATTAACATTAGCATGAGTTTAGTTTGAATTACTCATCTTTTTTCTGGTGAAAGTTAAGAAGAAATTTCTAATGAGGTTTGTCTGTCTTTCCTTCATTTCATTTTCAATCTTTTCCTATACCATAATCATGTCTTGTGTGAATGCTTTTATTATCTTATTGGTATTATTTTTTTTCTTTTTATTAACAAAATCTATCTATTATTTGTTATATCTGTGTGAATGTCCTAATAATCTGTGTAAATATTTCATGAATGATGAAATCCTTTTCTGTCCAATATCCCATTATCCTTCTTACCGAATAAAGTTGGTAGCAACCTCTTATTGCTGATATCACGGCCAGATATGGTACGCACCGAAGTCCGCTGTGCAAATTGTTCGGCGCATTTGGGTCACGTATTTGAAGATGGTCCAGCTCCTACCAGGAAAAGATATTGCATTAACTCAGCAGCCATGGACTTTGTGGAAAAGGAACAGAAGAGCTGAAATTATGAACTATAAATTGATATATTAAGAATATACACCTAACCCAATGGAAGATTCATAATTTTGAAACATTATGCAATACAAAAATATTAATAGACTGTGCTTACTTATTATTCGGACTCTTCTAAGGAATGCTTGCAATTTTTTTTCAATGCTGATTCATTCATTAACATCTTCTATGGATTAGGTTTATAGCTAGATTGAAAAATTGTTAAATTGAACTTCCATGATAAACATGACATTTTTGTAACTAATAATTTATATAACCAATATAATATAATAATGTGTGCTAAATATATTTTTATAAGATAAAAGTTGTGTTAATTCCAATCTGATAAGCTAATACTTGTTATGAATTTAAATTATTCAATATGTACTTAATATACTCCTAGAAAACATAATAAATTATGTTAAATAATTAAAACATATATTTAATTTTTATGTATTAACGCAATGCATGTTGTTATGATAAAAAATATTTCTTTCATTAATTTGATTTAGTTACTATTTGCAATTAAAGAAATTTATATTTTCAATAATTTATTATTAACTCAAAAGCAATAGAAAATAATATTAATATAATTTTCAATATACAATATTTTATTAATTTTTTATGAAACCATATACTATCAGAAAATACTATAAAACCGATATATTAAACAAAACTTCTTAAATATTTTACATTAGATTTTACAATAATTACTATTCATTATTAACATATCATGCAAAATAATTATATGGTATTATGTGAAAAAATTGAAATTTCTATAATTTTTTCAGAATTTTGAATTCTAAAAGTTCTCATTAAAATATCTATGAAGAAATAAAATTATGTATGGTACATCATACAATTAACAGAATACTTTATTATTTAAGTGTTAAAAAAAATCAATAATTATGTATTATGTTTTCAATTTTTGAAGTTTTAATATATATTTTTATTATTTATTATTTTTGGTTAGGCACATTCTGACAATAGCCGCAGCAGTCAATTAGTTTTAAAAATACATTTCTCATATGACCATTTCATACCAAAAAATATACAATGCGGGGTCAGAATGCATATAAATAAACATGGACAGATTAAAAAAAAACTTATTTCTTGTAATAATATAGTTTCATAGTATTTGTCCATATTTTGTACTATTATATATTAAATCAATGCTAAACATATTTACTGATGTTTAATTGAAATATAAATCTATGCCAGTCTTTTTTCTGACTTATACTCAATATTAATTGTGACATTCTTCTTAATCAAATTAAAACCAGTAAGCGTATTTACATTATTGTTAATACAATCGAAAACTAATATAATAAAAGCAACTTGTTTAAAATTATTCAATAATACTTTGAGCCTTTACTTTTTTGCGACCCTGTTCAAATCCCACATTCTTACAGAAATGAAATTCTTTGTAAATTGATTTGCAGTTGAAACTGGATAAGTTTAATAACTAAGTTTTAATACTTTTTTCTGTTGTATATACACATTTTTGTTCGAGCTTAAAGTTCTTAGGTTTATATGTACATTTCTGATTTTTCTTCAGTACATTTACATAAAGGTAAATCTATCACAGTCAATATAATCTTGTTCAAAGATTTTAATTATCTGATAGAATACCTTCAATCTGCACATTGTCAAGTGATTTAATAGTATGCTAAATATTATAAAAATGTGTTAGCAAGAGTATGATATACATTGGCTTGAAATTTTAAAATATTGCTGTGATCAATAATAGTGAATCTTTCATCTATTGATATATCAATATAAGTAAAAGAATATTATTCAATTGTAGATTAATTGGAACTATTTTTTTAGTAACAGTCGACAATATGCAGAAGCTTTTGCAAATAATTGTCAAAAAATCATTAATAAAGTTAGGGTGATAATAAAATAAATTATATAAAATATAATTCTCTTTCTCGATTCATATACTTTACTACTGTCTGACTATCATAGTTAAAAACATACTATAATAAAAATTGTGGAGAATTGGTAACAAGACATCTTTCCAATTTAGAATAACAAATAGATCTTACCTGTTCCTTTCCAAATTTATAAAAACATCAAAATACACACATATATATCACATATGCATGAACACTAGAACATTTCTCTCATTTTAGAAACTTATTAATCATTGGTCCTTAAAAATATTTCATCACTATATCTCACTGTTTATGTAAATGGTTGGATTCCAAATCAGTTGATATTAAAACTTAAACACTGAACTAATCTAAAAGAAATGCTAATGGCCTTTTGCTGCTTCCTTAGCTGCCATTATAAGTGGTGTTAAACTTGCTAGCGGCCGAGCCAACTTCAAAAATGGGTGCTGTAAAAGAAACATGGAATAATATTGTATTTTCATTTACTTCTGTGAAGAAGAACCTTACCTTTAATAATTCAAGTGCTGTGGCTCTCCTTTCAACTTCCACTTCTAAACATTGATCAAGGAAATCCCTAAACACAAGACTAAGTTTTTCCTTTTCCTTAATTTCTGGTTTACCATTAGTTGCTATAAGGTATAATGCTTTTAAAGGGTTTTCATTTAAGTATGGAGGTTCACCTTCAATCATTTCAATTGCCATGATTCCTAGTGACCATAAATCAACCTAAAAAATTATTAAATAATAAATAATACTGATCATTAATATATTGCTTTTATAATTTGTACCTTAGGCCCATATAATTTCCTAGTAACAACTTCTGGTGCCATCCAATAAGGAGTTCCAACCATTGTTGTCCTTTTATTTTGTTCAGGAGAAATTTGTGCACAAAAGCCAAAATCAGCTGAAAACAGACAAATTCATTATAAAATATATTTCTTAATTCATATGTCTGCTTGTGTTTGCCAGAATTAGATTTTTACTATAAATAAAATAACAGCTTACTTAATTTAACACTTCCATCCAGTCCTAGCAGTATGTTATCACTTTTTATATCCCTATGTATTACTTGGTTAGAGTGTAAGAAATCTAATGCTTGGAGAACCTCTCGACATACAGCAGCAATTTGTCCTTCGTCCATGCAAGTTTCAGTCACAACATCAGTCAAAGACCCTCCTGGAAGATACTCCATAACAACCCACAATTCCTAAAACAAATATAATGTGATAATTTGCTAATACAAGAGAAATTGTTGGTAGAATATTATACAAACCTCTGAAACTAGGTAACTATCCAAATAATTCACAACATTAGGATGTTTATTTTCTCGCATGACCAGAATTTCATTTATAATTAATTCTTTCTTAGGTTGTTGGGCTAAATGCATTTGTTTTATAGCCACTTCCATTCCAGTACTGGTTTCTATTGCAGTATACACAGTTCCAGAAGCACTAAAATATTAAAATAATAATATTAGTCACTGAAACAAAATTTTGCTTTATATATTACCTTACCCTTGTCCAATTTTCTCCATTCTTGTATATTTTCTATTCGGATCACCAACACTAACTATAGTCCTAAGCCTTTCTAGAATTTCTTCATCTGACATTTTTTTAGGTCGTGTTTGTTGAGGCACGCGTGTTTTATTTGTGGGAGTTTGTTGGGCGGTGGTTGTAAGAGTATTATTACTGTTTGCCGTATTATGAACAGGTGATACTGCAGCATTTTTATTATTGTCCAATGTTGCTTTCAGCGGTAGAAGGGGTGTTATGGTTTCTTCAACAGGCTTGGTATACTAAAAAGCATTATATGCAGTATAGTCAAAAAAACAAATGGTATAAATATTATTTTTAGTTTCATTTACTTACAATAGATTTAGTTCTTTCAGGACGGCTAGCAACGGGTGGAGCTGGAGGTTCGTCTAAATCACGATTTTCTGATATCCTATAGGAATCTGGTCCAGAATTAACACTACTTTGAACCGGCAGACTACATGGTAGTAAATTACCACTACCACCTTCACTATCTGTTGGTGTTGTACTGCTAGGGGAACTAGAGCTTACACGACTCAGGGAGGAACCTAGAAAAGAATTATTTTCAAATCAAAAAATAGATAACTAACCATAAGAATATAAAATTTAATTTTATAAGAAGTTTTATTATTTTATTACCAGAATGTGTGGTTGTATGGCCATGTGTCATATATTTGGATGTGGGGCTCTGCTGTGAATTGTCGTACCATTTTAAAACATCTAAAACAGCTTGAGGATTTTTCTTTTGTTCTTGTTTTGTTATAGTACTAGATACAAGTAATTTAGCCCAGTCCTCCGGCATGCCCTGTAAAAAGCAATTCTCAGACTTGATAGAAGAAAAAAAATTTCATACACAAAAATTAGACATTGGATAAAAGAGAAACAACTTCCATAAAATTAATGTATTGGGATAGTAAGTTAATAAATGAATAACAAATTAACACAATACAGCAAATGATTCTTATGGATATTCTTTTATGATATATTTAGAAAAATAATATATCCTGATTAGTCTATCCAACACGTAGAAATTAATGGAATATATATCTTCAATGTAGTATTACAACATAAAATCATGCTGTCAGCAAAGGTTAGTAATTATTTCATAGCAAACACTTAACAATCAAGCGTACTTACTTTTAAAGGCAGCTTGAAACAAAATACATTAAAATCATTATGAACGCAGTAACAAAAGCCAATTTCAGCGATTAAATACTAACATTAACAATTAGCTAACAAAAATAGAATTTAGCAGCATTTGATATATTAGATTATTGGTGATAATTTTTCATATTATTCAAACTACATTATGTTAAGTCAGGCATATCACTGTGTGGTTATTTCTTTGGTATGTGAATTATACGTAATATTTGATATAAAAATAATTTGTAACAAAGAATGTATGTATTTATATATGTAAATAAATTTTCATATACTTTTTGCATGTATGTTCACATATATCAAATGTTAACAATTTAAATATATACATTTCAATGTTTCATATAAATATATATGTGAGTACATGTAGAAGTAAAATTATTTCCATTCATTTTTTGTACGATCACATTATTGCTTGTTATAATGTTAGTCATGAGGAATGCAAATATATTGAATATTTGTACTTCTAGAAATTAGTATATAAAGAGTCTTAATGAGTGGGATACTTACAAAAAGTAATAAGTAGTGAAACTCATTTGAGTAATATTTTAGTTAATGATGTTTAGCAAAAGTGTTTCAATATTTAAGATAAATAATTTAAAGTAAGTGTAAATGCATATATATAAATATATTATTATAGTTAAAAGCGAGTGTAAAAATACAATATGGTGATAATTTCTATGAGCAATTTAATTTGACAAATTCGATTTTGAAAAGCAGCAATATTTTATAGTAAATAATTGCCAATAGTGCACAGCCAATGCCCAACAAAAGCATTATAATATTATGAAATACGACATTCATCAGCTAAAAATGTTTGAATAAATTTTACCGTAAATTCCCCAGTTACTGGATCAAAACCAACATGGATTGTATGCTCAAAATTGGTAGGATATGAGATGTTCGGTTTATTATTATCTGCATGAGCTTTTACACTTTTTATTTTTGCTTTGAGCGTTTTCTTCTTTTTCTCGGTAGCATCTTCAGGTTCTGAAAATAATGGAAATATTACTATGAATCATGGGAAAAAGGTTAAAATTAATTCTTAACAAGTAAAACACAATTATCAGTAAAAGCCAAAAATTTAAGAAGTGTTATTAGTTTAATGATTACATAAAATTTATATATTCTTACCATTTACTTGAATGTTTAAAGTATTTCAATTATTGGAAAAACGTATTAATAAAAAGCAGCAATGAGTGTTAGATGAACTAAACATTATTCAAAATCCGTGCCATTTCAAACACAGAGCCTTTAAGTACTTTTTTTTATGTGTTTTTATTTAGAAAAACTTAAAATTTCACTAATTCTAGTACATGCTCATAAGAAAAACATAATTTTATTCTAAGTACAGAAACTAAGTATTATTTTACCACTAGTAAAAAAAATTAATAAAATAAAGTGTTTGTTTGGGATATTTGTAGGAACATACTCGGAGTCATGACAGGTCCAAATACATAATTCTAATCTTATGAACTTTGTTTAAAACCCACTTAAATATTAAATGTGAAACTCATGCAAGGTTTGAAGAGGATCTGTTATAAAGCATAAAATCATCAGTAAACAAATATAACAATTTGAGCAATCACTTCATTCATGAATGACAGATGGGTGACAAAACATCCAAAATAGTCTTTCGTTGGGGCTACATCGAAACAAACCTTTTGGCAATGGTCTCATATCAACTGTAGTTATTGAATCACCTCTTTCGCCCCCTCGGTTACTAGTCAGCCGAACCGGTGGTGCCGGAGGCTTATCCTCGTCACTAGACATCTTGAAATTCGTGTTAAACTCTGCAAAAATTCAACAAAAATAACCATCACGTGTCAAACAACAACAAAACATTTCCTTAGCTTTCACACAACACATGGGTACCATTAATTCTAAGGGCGTAAAGTAAAAGGATCAGATTAAGCTCTATACACGATCACTTTCTATCTTTCTATCCTCACCTTACAAATTCTGTGGTTTATTATAAAATGCTAAAATGAACGTTGACCCATATTGAATAATAAAACACGTTTTGAATTTAACAACACGTCAATTAAAAACAATACATGATAATTGTAAAAGAAAAACTACCGCAGAACAATTTTCTCGCCGCCATTGCAATAATTATCATGAACACACGTTCCAAAGAGGTTTAAAATAACTGAGATCAAAAGAGAAGGACAGAAAGAGATGGGTATATGTAGCGTAAGCGCAAGAGCAGTACCAATTTCGTTTGGTAGTGGAACATGTAGATGACATGGATTACTTCACAAAAAAATTGCAATTTTGCAAAAACTGCAGGAAAGGGAAATAAACCATTAAGACTTTTTTTACAATGTTTTTTTGTGAAATAATTTTGAATTCTATTCAGAGTACTCATTTCTTAATAAAATTTTACTTTCATGTTGCAATAAGTAACAAAATATGAATAAGGCATGGAATAACATTGCCATAAGTTATTTCATAGCTTGACCCTTGAATTTACAAAATTTTGTAAATTAATATTTTGAAATAAATAATGCATTTTAAATATCAAAATATAGTTCAAATATAGGTTTTTACCATCTAGTATGTAATGACATCATTTTCTTATCAGATTCTCATTGGAAAATGGTGACTAAATGCCCACTCATTAGAAATAAGGCTTCAAATGAAATAACTTATCAAGACTTCTTCGACATCATAGTACTCATTTCTTCTTAAAATTTCACTTTTGCTCACATATGTGCTCAAGATGACTTTAACACTTGAAAAAGTTATTTCTTGATCTTGAAAATTCTCTCCTGGAATTCATAAAGTTTTGTAAACTAACATTTTGAAATAGATAATGCATTTTCAATATAGCAATATAGTTTAGATATAGGTTTTTGCCATCTAGTCTGCAATGACATCATTTTCTTATCAGATTCTCATTGGAAAATGGTGACTAAATACCCACTCATTAGAAATAAAGCTTCCATTAAATTCCGTTATCATATTTACTACACTCATATCAGTAATTATTATTTTTTTTTTATATTAATTTCAAAATTTACTTTGTCAGATTATTGCGCCAATATTCAAGTCAGGAAGCTTCTATAAAACGAGTTTGAATTTAAGAGTAAAACTTTTGTGAAAACTGTTTAAGAAGACTGGAAGATTAATTTCTTTTATGTTAAACCTTGAAAGTATTTTATTTGTCAATTTGCCAAATTTCAAGTTTTTTTTGAGTTCATCAGGAAATTAAAAATAAGATCGTGTACTATTTGTGTTGATCAATAGTATATTTAGAATTCTATCTGGTGACACACACATATATATATATATATATATATATATATAACTTATTTTTTATTTTTATTTAATAAGGCAATTAAGTGTATTTATAATTTCTCCTATATAAATTATTATAATTGAAACTCGAATCAACACTCCTCACTACATGGAAAATATTTTATCACAATTAAAATTGTTTTCACAAATGTAACATATGTTTATATAACCATTATAAAATAAATTCGACGAAACAATTCCTAATTTTATGATATTGATTATAGCATAAACATTATTATTATTAGTTTCACGACTGAACAATGCATAATGATAGTATTAAAACTCAGTTATTTAAATCATTTCATTTGGGTTAGACGAAAGAATTGTTAGAATTATTCAGTAATTAAGATGTTTTATATTAAATCTTTTGGCTTGTTTTGCAAATTTATTATTATTATAATTTTTGCTACTTGGAATTGTGATAGCACAGGGATCAGAAAATCTCCAGGATTGGTAAGATAATGGACATATAAAATTTTGGATTGTTTTTTTTTTTCAAATATTTTTAGTCACAGTTTCACTTTCTTCAGTGGATGAAATTATTTACAAAAATGAAAACAATAAACAATAGACCTATTACTAATACTATACTAGTTCCAAATCCCATCATCAGACTAACATGGTTCAAACATCTTTGTCTTTTATTGATTTTATTGATTGGCTTTTCAGGAAACAAGAATAATCAAATATATATTATTATTCAGTAGCCATTAATATCATTTATTTAATTAATTTCAGTTAAATATTACTATTTTATACGAATCACTATGTCCAGACAGTGTGGATTTCTTTATGGAACAGTTGCAACCAGCCTGGTCTAGCTTGGCGCCTTATACGAATTTCACATATGTTCCATTTGGAAAAGCATATGTGAGTATTAATTTTTATTAAATAAAATAATAATTTGATCATAATTTGACAAAACATCAAACATTAATATATTTATATAGGTATAGTGTCAATGTGTTCAAAAATCTTAAAGTTTGAACCATAGGTTTCCAAATTATTTTGGGTAGTGGACCCCTTGGGCTATGTCATGAACCCAATATTTATCTCATATCAATTTTTTTTATATTTGCTTAGCTGTATCAAAGTTTATGATTAAATATTTAAAGTAAAAACATTTTTAATTTTTGACCCCAATTTTTTTTGGGTGGAGTGAACGCCGGTGGTGGTGGACCACTATGGGAATCATTGGTCTAACCCAAAAACAATCAGAGTAATTATTTGTAGTTTATAATAAGTCAAATTTACCAATAATATTCAATTGCCACATACCATTAATAAGAGAATAATTTAATTAATATGAAAATTTTAATTTCCTTACAACCTATGATCATGTAATTTAATTATCTTAAGTTATTTCTAATGAATAAGTGGATGGTTTATTTTTGCTGACAAGTTTCTGTGTCTATTAGAGTATAAAAAATGGAAAAAGGTTCATCTGCCAGCATGGAGCAAACGAATGTGCAGGAAATAAGATGCAATCATGTGTTTTACATTTACTTCGAGGCCAACCGTTTCGTCAATTCACATTTATCATTTGCCAGATGAATGGAATTTCGCCGGTGGACGGAAGCGCGGCAAGTATAATAAAATAATATTTAAAAATGATATTTTTTTTAAAATAATTAATATGAAAAAATGTTTATATGGTAGTCTGATATGAAATATTTCAATCCACAGTGTTTTAAGAAAGTGAATCTGCACGAATGGAAAGTTAGACAATGTGAAAATTCTGATATTGGCAACTCTTTGCAATTGCTGGCTGAAAACATCACGCACCGGTTTAATCCTGAGTTTATACCTACAATTTTGTTCAATGATGTAAGACAATAATTATAAACCATTTGTAATGTTTTAATATTTGCAACCTAGAGATCTCATTTAAGAGAGTAGAAGTATCTTCTATCACGCCTTATTTGATCCTTCTAAATGGTGATCAAAATTACAGCCCAATGGCTAATACAATGTAACTGTTTTGATTGCCATTTAATGTATATTAATAAAAAAAGTAAAATAGATAACACCAGTATTAGAACATTTCTAATAATACAAATATAACAAATAGAGATAAGGCTACGTTGGATTGCCTCCTAAAAAAGCTACAACTTCTAAAAGTTAAGCAATGTCATAAAACACTTTAAAAGGTTCATAATTGAGATTTACCCGTGAATTAGTGTTTAGAGCTATGGGATTTCAATCAGAGATCGATACCCGCCTCGAGCAGCCTGATGTCAAGCAGCAGTGACATCAGGTTTTACTTGAAAATGTAGATAGAAATATGTTTCCAAGTGAAAATTATCCTAACCCTAGATTGCTGAATTTATAACAAATTTATCACAATTACAAAAATTGTAATAAAAAAATTCATCCTATAGAGATAGGACAACTGTTTGGGTTGCCATCTATAAAACTGACGTAGTAAATCAAGTCAAATCATCACAAAAGCTTTTATGACTCTTTAGTTCTGATCGCTGTTTCATAATAATAATAAAATCTGATTTCCAATTGATACATAAAAAATTATCTCAAATGTTGAAATTGAAAACAAAGATTAGATTAGATCATTGTTCATATGAACTGCAAGTCAGTAATACCATAATTACAGTTTGTTTCTCTATTTTGTATGATTTTTTTTTAAATTTAATTTAAATTACCAGTTTTATATTTTTATTAATTTATTTCTATTTTTTCAGTTATATTTCAGGAGCTTCCAGAACATGGCTCTTATGGATTTTAAACATGCTGCTTGTAAATTTTTCCCTCCTGGACACGTAGCATGTATTTGAATAAAAAAAATAAAGTTTGTTATAGATGTTAATATTTTTGTAGAAAATATGTAGAGTAACTAGTTAGTGATAGAAGTCTAAAGTTAGTTTAATCAAATTATGAAATATGATTGATGTGCTGAATTGATAAAGTGATTAAAAGATTTAGTACAAGTAACCTATCATCACATTTTATGATGATTGATGATGAATTTATAATTTTTTTGTAGAATTACTAGTTATTATAATCATAACATAGTTTGAAATAAAGTATAAAATATGATTGATGTGTTGGATATCAAGTAAGACTTATTACTTATTATTCCATTCCACCATATCAACTTTTTTTTAATCACTCATTCATGGGTTTTACGATTGCATAATCGAAATCTTCGTTTATAATTGATTCACCATGCATACGGATAGCGAATTAATAATTTAACGATTTTACGTGTATTAAAGTGAAGTTCAAATACCAGACAATATTTTATATGGATTCTAGAACCCGATGAATGTTATTTGCTAAAGGTACATTCCTGAGTCATACGTGTAACCTGAGGGGGTTGGAAGAGGCGGGTCAAGCGAGAACTTTACCTTGCGTGCGAGATGGTCAGAAATTCTTCAGAGGAATATTCAGAAACTATCGGAGAGAAATTAATCATAATAATACATATTCACATGTATGTATAAATGTAATTTGTTTATTTGCCAACTCTCTCACGCTATTAGTTATCAGGTGAGGTGGTATGCAATATTTTCTAAACAAACCTTATCGATAAGAAATTCATGAAACAATTGTAATGCATATATACATACACTTGGTCTCTAAAGCCTTAATGTTTAAAAATACATGTAGTTATCTATTTATATTTTGGAATCCCAAACAATAACATAAGACTGTTGATTCAATTTACAAGATGAATTGTAATGATTGTAATTGGTGCTATATAGGTGTCAGTTTCTAATATTTCCCTAAAAGATAAAATTAACATATTGATAATTCAAACAATCAAATCAAAATATCAAATTAAAATTATGTTCTCTGAATATATATAAAAAATTATATATATACTAGATGACCCGACAGACGTTGTTCTGTACTCATGTTTACAATTCAGAAGTTTAATTATTTTTTTTATTAACCTATACTGATATTTACCAATTAGTTAAAAATTATTATGTTTTTTTACACTATACCCATATGGATCTTAAGTGCTTTAAATAAAATGATGAGTATTTGCTTTTTTGATAAACATTATAAAACATTTATTTCTTATAATTAGTTTTTTTATCGATATCCGTCGTTGATTTGAAAAAATGAAATTAAATTACTCCACTGAGAGGGATGTCATCCCCCCGGGAAATGGCAAAGGAGCTAAATTATTTTAACTTTTGAACTTGAGAGTAATATAAACCTAATTTCAAAATTTTATATGAATTGGAGCACAGTAAAAAAATCAGACCCAAAACGCTACATTGACTAGAGTAAATATTCCGTATCCGATGGCAAAAATATGAAAATATTAACGTTTGTATGTGAAAAATAAAAAGGGCTGTTTATCGGGTTTTTCCGGAAATTATTCGATTTTTTCTCGCAGTAAGAACCATCCTTGAACTTCAACGAACATTTTAAAAAAACATTTGGCCAAATTGGTCCAAGCCTTGTTGAGTTACCAACACATTTTGCGATTCATTTTTATATCATAGATATATAAATGAATATATATATATATATATATATATATATAAATATAAAATATTATATATATATATATATATATAATTTTTACTATCTTTCATATCTTTTATATCTTTTGTACTATAATTTCAAAGATGCAATTCAAAGTGATTTATCATTGCGTGTATACATTTTCAGTAAATCTATAACTAGCAGCAAAAGGCGGAAAGTAAAGCCGTTAGTCTTACAAATAATCATACACCGATGATTATTTTCAAAGATTTAAGTACAGTGTAGCAATATAATACAACTCATCATTTGCAAATTATTATCATATTTAGTAATAAAAAATGCTTCTCATCGTAGGTTAAATAATGTAACAGTTAACGAATGATTTTTAGGATTAATACAGATTGGAAAATAACCGGAACAGATGGTCTTGAAAATTCTGTTTAAATAAAAATAAAAATAAGATTTACTGATACCACAACAACCCTTAAGGATCAATTTTTTTTTTGAATCTTTTGATATGCCCTACGCTAGCACATCTAAATTTGATATATTTGAACTTTTAAGAATTTATTTAAAAAAAAGATTTGTTTATCTCATTTGATGCAGCAGGAAAGAGCTATTTCACTTGAATACATATTTTGGTTCAATATTTTCAAATAAAAATGCTGTTGCTTGGTACAGAAATATTCATTGTATATTATGAATCCATCCATTTTGTTCAATCATGTATCTATTACAAAATGCATTCTAAATAATTTATTCGACGAGGTTTAGTCACCGGATGGTTAACGAACTGGTCTAGGAATGAATTTCCTGCAGCAACTCCATTACTCGTGACTTGCATAAGAATAACTTCCGATTGGAAGTAATCTTAAAAATCACCGTCATCAAATAATACATTCTTTGGAGTATAAAAAAGTATTTATTATATAAAATACATAGTATTAATACTATAAATAATAATTAAAATGATGCTTGGTGGCAAGTTATTCTAAAAACAAGTCTCTTTCGTCTCATCTACAAATAGTGTGTTTTTCTTAGGTTGTTTTTGTTGCGGTGGTGTTTGCACAAAGCGCAGGATATGAGGAGCGCAAAAAATGGCATGCTGCTCCTCTGAAGTCAATTTGTGACCTATCTTGCAAATCTTGATTAAAAACCTGAAAAAAATAATATGAAGATACTTAGAAGCAAACAGAATATTTACTCGGTGTAGTGAATTATCATCATCCTCCTTTATTCAAATATTTAGCTATGCTTTTCAGAATTGATTGGTATTGAGAAATGCAATTAGTTTATTATTCCCAAAAGCGGAGTGAAATCATATTCAAATGATATACCGATATGATGATTATCATATTTTATTAAAATATTTAGCAGTGGTTTTCAAAATTGACTGGTGGAACATCAAATATTTTTTTAATTGCTAAAGCAACACCAATCATACATAAAAGAAAAAAATCATACATAAAACTAAAATTCTGATCATCATCATCCTACATTAAAATATTTAGCGACGGTTTTCAAGATTTATTTTAGAGACCTCGTATATTTTATTATTCGCAAAAGCAGAGTAGAATCATATTAGCAATTTAAAATGAGCCTAGGTAATGACTCGAATAAATTATATAATTTAAAATAAAACAATTATGAAAGTTTGGATAATTGTATTTAGAAATCGGTCTTGGACTTTTTTTAAATTTATATTATTTCAAATGCCTTGTGAATCTTAATAAATAATTTGTAGCATTTTTAAATTAATTATCCGAGCTAAGGATGTTTACTTAAGGTCTCTCTTTGAATTTAATAGAATATTGGCATACACTGCATACCTAAATTCTTAAAATTTATTTAAGTCAATCTTTTCTTAGTTCACTGCATATTATACAGTAAAGTAAGCAAAAAATTGGTGCTCCAATTGACTTACATAAATTTTAAGAATTTTGGTAACATCATTATGTATACTATTTTTCGGGTTTGAGGTACGACAAAACGTTTCCACCATTCCATATAATACGTAATTGATTTACACAATTTTTAAGAAATTTGAAACACATCAATTTGTATTTTATTATATGTATATACAATTTTCAAGAAATTTAAGACATATTAATTCGTATTTTATTTTTTGGTTTTGAGGTACGACCAACCGTTATAAGAAAATCCAGTTTTTTCACGTAATCTTGTTTATTTTAAATATTTATTAATTTAGTGACGATTATATAACGTTTTATACTGAAAATTGTTCAAACTTTCATGATTTTTTTTAAAAAGTTTACTACTTTACTATTATTGGACTCGAGTTATAGCGTCATTTCTAACGAGTAAGAGTAGATCAAATGTTCAATTTGACTCTACAATATGCAAAAGATCATTACAATATTCTATGAATGATTAATAAATATCATATACAGTTAGATTCGTCCTGAAATTTCTAATTTTAAACGAACAAAAAATTTTTAATTTAGGGAGTATTTTGTTAGAAAAATTATATGGGGACACATATCACGTATTGTACACAGACAATTCATATATACATTATATTGTGGAAATTTCTCTTATACTGACTTTGAAATAAAATTCCACAATTTCAAGAAATTTGAGCAAAACTCCGAAATTTTAGAAAAAGTTAAAGAATTATGAAAAAATGCAGACACTCAGTCTATTGCCCCTAAGCATTCCCTTTACTAGGCTCCATGCGCTGCAATTGGTCTTATTAAAACCGAATTATCGCCATCACAACAAACCCTTGATGCAAATATTTTATTTTCTAAAGAAGATTGATTGATATTTCATTACATCAATTAAATTCGCATTATGTATCACTCACCCCGTTGAAAACGATTGTGGGAATGAACTGAGGCCAGATTGCGTTCGTCTCTCTTTCGGCGCGCAATTGCAACAATCTTCCGACGTCGGACTTCATGCAACGATCGACCAGATTCCAGTCGATTCCGACCATCCTAGTACACTGGAAGAAAAAAAACAGAGAAATTAAGATCATAATATAAAGTTATTTTAATGGAAAATAACTAATTCGGAGGATACATTCATCCATTTGTCCATTTTTATAAAAATAACACGTGACACACCTGGTGTTGATTGCCTTTTACCATCCATTCATAATTTAGCCATTAATATTAGGGTGATCCTTAACATGGACATTTACGAATTTCTTTGCTCCCAAGGGCTCCAATGTTTCCAAATTAATAAAAAATGAATCTCTAATAGTTTTAGCTCTTAATATTAACATTTAGATAGAGCGCACTCCAATTTATATTTGTTATTAACATATGTCATTAAGTAAATTCTTGCGCCATCTGTGATAGTTTCGTGATCTCAAATATTATGACACATAAGAATATTTATAAACCACTTAAAATCTAATTAAATCCATGTGGGCTGTTCCATAATATCTATTCATCATTGCATCAAGATTAATTTTGCAGCAAAATATTTATTTAATTGGTGATGTAGAAACTCAAATTATTATCTTGATGCCATTATGAATAAATATTAAAGAATGGCCCAAATGGATTTAATTAGACCAGTATCCACTAATATAAATCTGCTGTCACATACCGTTGTATTAATTGCTTATATATTTTTACTATCATATTTTTTATCTTTAGCGTATCAATTGTAAGATTAGTATCTGTTATTTAATAAAACAAACTGAAGATATATTTAAAGTTCATTAAGATGCATAAAACATGAGCAGAATTTCAATTAACATAACGAACATTTAATTAAATTCTAATTGGCTTATTAGATGATGTTACTCGCAAAATATGCTAAATTACAAGATTTTCAAACTAATTGCACATTCTGATGCAATAATTATATAAACCGATTTATTTTTAGAAACGCAGACTGCACAAGATGCACATTTAAAACAAATATCAATAAAAATACAAGTATTTTTAAAGCCACATTATTTTATTACATACTTGGTTAAACTTTATCTGTTAATTGGAGGATGTAAGATGTTTAATGTGATATTAAAAAATTAAATATCTCAAACAATTAAAGAAATTCACGTTTTAAAATAAACAAGTTGAGCAAGTATTCAAAGTTTTTATTTGCTACGACATTCTTATACTGACTATGTAAGAATTTTGATTACAAAGTCAGGGAATATAAAAATGTTATAAATTTCGGTGAAATTCAAAATAGAAAGTATCCTAAACAGTTGAAAAAAAAGAGCATTTATCACAGTAAAGCTATCCGAGAAGAGAAATATATGTAAATTGAGATAGCTAAATCTTTTTAAACAGCGATTTACAAAATCACTGAATTGGCATTCTATTTAGAAATTTCAAGTACTACCAAAAATTTGCTGATGTTCCGTACTTATTGGCACAGATATTTAAAAAATATATCCAATTTGCTGATTGACCACTTATAAATAATATAAAATAATAATCTGTATGATTCATCTACACATTGGTGCATTATCTCATCATAACCAGAAGTAATGAATTTATTGTTTCATAGTATGATATGATTCTATGAATATATTTCGGGCAACTGTCCATTTCCGTTGTTTTCACAAATTAATTAACATTATTTAAATTATTTTCTAATTTACCGTTTTGCCAGAGTGGTCGGCTGATGGATGCATCTGACATCCCACAAAGCGCATGTGCATCATCGGGTTTTTGCCAAGGAGGTGCAGGACGCAGGACTGCAGCATGTTGCCCCTGCACTCTTCTGGACCGTGTTGGCATTCGAAGGATTCACCATCATTAATATTCTGTGAAAGAAAATAAAAAAACAATTTAAATGAATGAAAAGCATTAATTGTAAATTATATGAATACACAAGTAAAGGAAAAGTCAACTCGAAAGGAACTTGAGTAACTGTGTTGTCGATTATGACCTAGAATCGACTTCAAAGGGCTCTTTATTTAAACCCTGCAAACCCCAAGTCACATTTAGTACCTGGTTCAGCAAACTAAAAATGACCAGAGAAGACATTTCCATGATAAATAGAATTAGATGCGCTCACACCTTTTGTAGGTCTCATTTATACAAAATTGGACGAACATAGGACCCCTTCTGTTCCTGTGGACCAGAATTTCAAACAATATACCATATCCTTTGGAAATGCTGCCTACTCTCAAAACAGAGAGAAGAACTTCTTCAAGAACTATATAGGAATAATATAACTTTCCCCATTAACACGGCAATATTATACTGAATTTTCTACATAATTTCAAAATCAGGATTTGATCTATATATAGTGTGTATGCATAGATGTATATATGTATATATATATGTATGTGTATATGTATGTATATTTATATGTGTGTATGTGTGTATATATATAGATATTGTATGTAGCTATCTAAGTATATATCATAAATTAGGTTCTTTAGTGTTTTTGCAATAACAATATTATTGAACTGTATTGAATAATGTATACTAAAATATGTAAATGTTGCTAAATGACCTAAAGGTCAAAGGCCAAATAATTAAAAAAAAACTGTGTTGTCTTTTAGAACCAAGATTCAATTCATCAACCTATCAAAAACTGTTTATATATAAGATGATTTCAAAACTCAAAACTATCAATACAATTGTTTGTCAGCAATCAGCAAAAAGAAATAATACGGATTGCAACCAGGCACAAGTCACCAGAACTGACTGATAGAAATCTGGTTGTTAATTTTCCAAAGAAACTAAGACTCAAGACGATTTTGTTACGTATGCAAACGTTAAAACCAAGTAATTATAAATTTGGTATTTATTTATTACATTTAATTTCCAATCATGCAAAGAGAAGTAAAGACGTAACAGTAATGCTATCTGCTCAAAATTTAATTCAATTACTTTATGAAGATTATTGTTTTTGCAAAAGTATATTTATATAATTATGTAAATGATGTACCCAAGTAATAATAATTATCTAATTATAATTTTTATATTATTTTATTATTCCTAATTCTGCAAAGACATAACAGTACTACCATCCGCTAATCTCTGTTCGCCATAGCGATTAATTACAAAAAGCTCATTATCTCTAGTTTTGCTGTAGTAATTAGAAGTCATTACCTATGTTTTTCCTGTGCCCTAGTAGTAGTAGTATATCCATTTCCAATTACGAATAGAAATACTAATCGTGTTTTCAAGATCAATCTATACCACTTTCTTGTCCAGCATCCTGGTAATCTAAGAAGCCATTACCAGACCGACAATAAAAACGTGCATATTGCCATTTCGATCGTTAGTGTGACTTATTGGTTTCTTATGATGTTCATTTATTGTTTTATTGGAGAAGAATAGTCAAGAATACAACTGAGAGTTATGCTAGGATTGATTACCACAGGTACAGAACTATGGAGAGATCACATGTTTTTCTTGGGTGTTATGACCTAAGAACAACCATAGCATTCCTTCGCTATGATGTTGCAATTTCATAAAACAGAACATAAATCAATAATTTTTATCTAAACTAATGTGTATCGATACTTGGTTTTACACATGACAAAGTTGCTTGACAAATAGATTGCGTTCGACAGGAATTTTTAGATACATCTGTGGTTCTTAAGCGGTGATCTGGGGAAAACTGATGGTAAAAGAATAAAAAGATCCGATCGGACAACTAGCCGATTTTAATTCTTTGAATGAAATAAATAAATTCTCTATATGTGTGAATAATATAAAACTTTACAAAGCTTCATTAATTGCCGAACAATTATTTTCAAGAGCTAATAATGAAGGAACGGTCCAGCCAATCTTCACCAAAAATTGTTCAGCGCTTTTCCCAACTAATATCTTTCGTACAGTTTTTAAATTTTTAAAATCGGTTCAGGACTTTTTGTAAATCGTAGAGAATTATTTTTGCACTTTTCTACTAATTCTAAGAAACAATTCAGCCGATCGTCGTGCAAAACTAATCAATGCGAATTATCATAGAGTTTAACCAAATGGCTTTTAAATTTATAAAATAATAATAAAATCAACCATGTCTTTTTCGATATTTCAAATTGACGTCAAACGAGTATTTTTCGCATAGATCTTATCAATTTAAAATGCAAAACAATATATTGTTTATTATTTCTAACTAGGTCTTCCAACTCGAAAGCGACAAACTTTGTCGTCACAAATGCGACATCCTTCCATCAATAATCAATATTTAACAAAAATCAGCATACAATATGCCAAATAAACATTCTTCGTGCCTTGGGAAGATTTCCAACGGTATTTTATGGAGAGTTCCGCACTATTAATGTTTATATTATTACAATATGTGTATCCGTAACGGTGCGACTGATAAACTGATTATCGATGAAAACGCGTAACTTGTACCGGTATTTGTCATTCCATTGATTTTTTTATTTAGGAAAGGAATGTATCAAGAAATTATATGATGTTATGTAATTAAATTAGTATTTATGATGTAGCCCTGTATGATTATTATTGCGATTTTTGCGAATTTGCGAAACGCGATCGCATACACGTCTGTAGGCGTCGTACTCTCTCTTGGCAATTTTATGGACTTTCTAGTCTTCGAACGCGTAAAAATATGATATTGAGACTAAATATAATGGATACAGATGTTGGAAACTCAAATATTACGATAAAAAAATAGACGTTCTTACTCAAGAATGGAACAATTCCAAGGAATAGATCCATGATTAGTAACCAAGCTTCTACTTACTATTTTGTATTTTTCATTTGTTTCCTTTGTATCTATAGAATTTAGCCATTTACATCATTTTTAATTTTTTAACCGATCACAATCAAAGCCATACATTTTACAATTTACATACAGGCAGGTTTAGGCGTTTTGACGATACGGGGCAAAAAGTGCCAAAAACGGTATCTCATTTCTTTAAAATTAGTAAAAAAAGGAAATTTGCCTTAAGGCACGATGCCATGCACCACTAGTTATCTGACCCTATTCAATGTTTTTTCATACTAATTTTAACAAAATATTCAGAATCCTTAACCAGTTTTTTTTCCAAAGGACTGGTATTCAGTAGCTCTTTTATGCCAATCGAGCATGTTGCCACTATGGCTGTAATTTACTTATTTTATTTTTAATAAATTTACAAAATGCTATTGAGAAATGTATTATTCTATAAATAAATAGAAGGAAAAATTTAATTTGCAGCTCATTTCATTTGTCCAGCTCAACCTTAGATGGCGTAACATGGCAAAATTAATAAACTTGAATTCATTCATTACATTTCTTTGAAAATACTAAATCATTTCTAAACCTTTAATATTACACTTATTAGACTTTGTAAGAGAGGCATAAGATCTCCCTAAATAGCTCATAATATTAAAATTATAAAAAATATTAAGAATAATCACAACTACTTTGTAGTCTTAGTTGAGTAGTAGCATCACTTCTCATTCAAAATTTAAAATAAATGTTATTAAATCTCATAATCTACTCAATTGTTTTATTATTTTTTTTATCATCTATATCATTCATCAATATTTTTGTGGTTTCTTATTATAACCAAGGTTGATTACCCCTGCAATAATAATCGCGCACGAGTTAATTGCAAACGAACCATAAAAATAATTTCTAATGTTATATATCAAATTACGCATTCCTACGATTTGATAAAACACGACTTTTTTTATATTAAATCTGTAAAATTTAATTTAGTTTAACGTGAATATTGTGTAAAACTTATGCTGATTAGGACGTCTAATTAGGTCAAATTGTAAAATTATCTTTATGAATGTAGCCCGAAATTATAGTATGGATTTATGAATATGGTAGATAAGAAAATTAAATAATTTAATACAACTACTAGTAATATAAATATGTATTATATTTTATTTTTTACTATATGTAGTAAATCTTCTATATTATTTTAGGTTATTCAATATATCAATATATATGTAGACTGCTGCACTCTGCAAATGTTGCAACTTGTAAAACATTACTAAGCACTCTAAATATGCGATAATTTGAAAAACTGCTTAGAACATTAAAATAGTTCGTTGACTTTTTGAATTAATAATCGATTTGTAAATACACGAGAATATCAATTATAAAAAAAATTAAAGTACAACGTCGTTAGAAAATTCTTTAATCTTAATAATCCAAAGTTTGAAATTAGATGTACTGAAATTGATCGAGATCATGAATTTATTTTTTACAAATTAAAGTATAATTTTTCCACATTTTTTTATCACAAATATATATTTTTTGATCGCTTATTTATTGTCCAATGATGAAATTTAAATTATATTCAATGATAATGACACATTTATAATTGAGTTAAAAGTTTCCATATATCAGGACAAAACCATGTAAACAAAACAGCAACAATGACAAAATTCCGTTCCAACCATTTCAAAAACAAAATCTGACGATTATAAATCCGTTACAACTGCATTTCCAGTATTTTGAATTCTCTTCCTGTTTATATACTGGGCAAACCATAAATTATTAAGCGTTATTGGTTTTCAACAAAAACAGAAACCGTCGTCGAGCAGGTATTTTATGCATCTTATACTAAACCTCAGCCGCTAATTTATAATATTACATTACAGTTAGATAGATGCATAATTTGTGTAAACAATAAATAACTAAAAACTAACGTTTGTTATTAAAATTTAATTAAATTTTAAAATAAACTTACCGCTGCTTTTCCGAATGGCACAAATTTGAAGTTCGTGAACGGCGCCAAAGCTTCAAAGTTTGGGTAAAGTTGATTTGATATAAATCTGACACTGTCTGGGCACAAAGTTTCGTAGAAAATGGTCACATCTAGCTAAAAAAGAA